AGTAGAGGAGTAGGCGACTTCATGTGAAACCTTTCCTCATATTTAAACACAGTTCTTATCCCCGATATATTCTTTGTTCTTTGGGGGCGGTGGGTTAGCCTAGTGGTTAAAGCGTTGGCTCGTCACGCCGAAGACCCGGGTTTGATTCCCCACATGGGCACAATGTGTTAAGCCCATTTCTGGTGTCCCCCGCCGTGATATTGCCGGAACATTGCTAAAAGCGGCGTAAAACTAAACTCAGTCAGTCTTTGTTCTTTATCCGTTGGAGAGACACGAATGTGGACACAGTGGCGTTTTAAATGTATTTTCCGAAATTAATACCTATTGGCGAACACCTCGTATTGATGCTATTAACTGACAGTGTTATTATTACTATTAAAGCGGAAACCCCTTTCCATCCTTTACGAAATATCTGCTATATCATAAGCATGTGTCCATGAATCACGATCAAACAGTGATAAATACAAGCTTATTATGTAATAGCTGTCGGAAAATGGAGTGTTGGCAGGGATTGGAAAGGATTTTGTAGCTTTATTTCATTTAACCCTCAAACGTATGCCCTGGGTCTTTGAGGCCCACCTAGGTGTTTTCATGTATACACAAACTTTAATATTATAAGCACGTTAATTTCGCTTCATGTATTCCTCCAAAAGGTCAAACTCTTGAATTCTTCAAAACTATTGGCAGTAGATGTAAAAAGTTTTAAAATTATTTAACAAAAGATTATTTTTATAACACTGAGGTATACCTTGGGCTTGGGAGACCCAGGTAAATGGGTTTTTCTAACTACGGACTGTGAAAACTGTCCATGTGACAGATGATGTAATTGCGTCAGGAGCACTTCACAATGATCAGGTAAAAGTGACCTTGAGGAAGTGATATTTGACTTTCTGACGACAATTCTTCCGAATGTGATTTAGTTCCTTTGCACTTTTTCCGATGAATAGTCGACAGATTATGAATCTACAGAAACATATGGTGATGATTCAATGCGTTCGTCTCATTCAGAAGACCAAGAATGTTATCTTGGAAAAGACAGAGGAAAACTCCCCCTGGATCTAGTCGTACTCCTCAACATCTCATATCATCCATGGTCGAATCCAGAGAGTAATCAATGCTGACAACGTTGTCCATGAAGAAGACAGGTTTACAAAGTATATTACAGGAAACATAGTGGACACCATTGTGAAACTTACTGACATTCAAGGAAAGAAAGTAATAGGAGATAAGGGGACGGGCGATACAGAATGAGAAAGATACAGACAAGACAGTATTTTTGACATTCATAGGATTTCTACTGACATGTGGACATCTGAAACACTAATGTTTTATGGGATAAAAAGTATGGCGTTCCTATTGGGAGAGGTACTTTGTCTCAAAAACAAAAACCAAGTAAATTGAGGGTTGGTGACAAGGAAACAAGTAGTTTCAGACGCGCAAAAGACAAATTGGCACCAATCAGAGATGTCTGGGATGAGTTTGAAAATGCTCTGAGAAAACATTATATTCCTGGTGAAATCCTCAATGTAGACGAGCATCTTGTACCGTTCTGTGGTCGGAGTTCGTTCATCCAGTACATTTCAGCAAAACCAGACAAGTACGGCTTTAGGATTTTCTGGATTGTAGATTCTGACACCAGCTACCCCCTCATAGGGCTAGAACTGTTGTCAAATGTATTGACTATGGTTGGGACAGTCTGTCAGAATAAGTGCTTCTTGCCTCCAGAGTTTCGAACAAAGAAAGGAAGGGGTGTCAACACTTTCAATCTTTGGATTCCAGGGCAGGACCACCATAGTCTATCCACACACATCCACACACACTACACAATACACCCACATCGACCACACACGACATACACATCCACCACACACGACACACACATCCACCACACAATACACTCACGTCGACTACACACGACACACACATCCACACCCACTACACAATACATCCACATCGACCACACACGACATACACATCCACCACACACGACACACACATCCACCACACAATACACCCACGTCGACCACGACACACACATCCACACCACCACAATACACCCACAACGACTGCACACATACATCCACCACAATACACACATCCACCACACAATACACCCACGGCGACTACACACGACACACACATCCACACACTACACAATACACACCACGGCGACTGCACACGACATACACATCCACCACACACGACACACACATCCACCACACAATACACCCACGGCGACTACACACATCCACCACACAATACATACACGACACACACATCCACAACACAATACACCCACTACACACGAAACACACATCCACACCCACTACACAATACACCCACATCGGACACACACATCCACCACACATTACACCTACCACCACCAACGACACACACATCCACCAGACAATACACCCACCATACCACACACGACACACACATCCAGTGCACAATACACCCACATCGACCACACACGACACACACACCCACAACACAATACACCCACATCGGACACAAACACCCACCACATAATACATACACGACACACACATCCACAACACAATACACCCACTACACAATACACCATCATCCACGACACACACATCCACCACACACACATCCACCACACAAGACACCCACCACACACACACACACGTCCACCGATGTATAGTTGAAATTGCTGGACACGATATGCTTATGTTGTGCAATCTCTCACCACTCATACAATATCGGTGGTATAGCCTAAAACATTTTCGATATAAATATGCCAATGACAAATTACACATCAAAATAACAATTAAACATAGTGTTACATACCCTTTGGCACAACCTTTTGTTGAAGACGCTCCATGATTATGTTGCCAAAGTGCAAGTGCATCAGACTATATATTGGAAACTAGAATGTCAACCTTCCTGAAGTATGGTGGACTGGGCCTTTGGGCCCATGGTGTACGGGATACGATGTTAAAAGGGTATTCGTTTGAGGGTTAAAATCGATATTCACATTAACATTATATCGATAATCAATTAATTAACTAAATATATACACCGCCTTATAATTAAAGTGTCACTGTATTGATCCCTGTCCTTTCATTCTGTGACCTTGTTACTTCTAAAGATTTTGGAAGTGTATCTATCAAAGACGATATAATAATCCATAATATAATTTTGTCGAAACTAATAACGACAACACCGCACCATTCCATAATCATAAGAGATATATGCCCTCAAATAACTATCCATTACACTACTCCGACTTTATCAAGATCACGTAATCAAACAGATGAGACTTGAACTGCAATATTACGAAGTGTACTACCAAAAAGTTACAAATATTAATTACATCTTCGACCTCTGATCAATTGTTATGGTATATGTATTTTTTAATTGTGAATATTCTGAGAGGTACTAATTAATTATTTTTTATCTGGCCCCATCTCTAAGCTGACATGGTATCGTACTGCGACTTCTATACCACGATTCTCAATCAAATTGTGCAATATTTTCTTAACATGTTTCAACTAAAGCAAACATTTGTTTGGAGAGATGTATAAATCCAGACAATGCCCATTCCTTCCTTCCATAACACCTAAATCTCTTTCAATCATACATTCCTATAAACCGTAAAAATTGAGAACCTGTTAGATATTTCCCTCCATGTCGCATAATTCAAACTACAATGACATCTTAAGGACATTACGAAAAATGCCAAACATTGCAAGGAAGGTTCATAGATTACTATGGGAGTACAACTGCAATAGACTGGTAATGACATCACAATAATGTAAGGTATGTCGAATCAAATACAAGGACGCCAATAATGTAAAGAAAGGTACTGATATTGCTATCAAATGCTATTGGAACAAATAATATCTTACTGGCATCACGGAGAATGTCGAATAATACAAAGAAGCAAACAATGTAAGAAAGGTACTGATACTGCTATCAAATGCTATTGGAACAAATAATATCTTGCTGGCATCATGGAGAGTGTCGAATAATACAAAGAAGCAAACAATGTAAGAAAGGTACTGATATTGCTATCAAAGGCTTTTGCAATAATAATATCTTAATAGTATTATGGAATACGGCGAATAATACCAGGACGCCAATAGTGTAAAAGAGGTACTGACATTGCTATCAAATGCTAATTGCAACAATAATAATTATCTTAATGGCATCATGGAATATGTCGAATGATACAAGGAAGCCAATAGTACAAGGAAGCCAATAGTGTAAGAAAGGTACTGATATTACTATCAAATGCTATGGCAACAATAATATCTTAATGACATCACGGAGTATGTGGAATAATCCAAGGAAGCCAGTAGTGTGAGAAAGATACTGATATTACTATCAAATGCTTTTGCAAAAATAATATCTTAATGACATCATGGAGTATGTGGAATAATACAAGGGAGACAACAGTGTAAGGAAAGTATTGATCTTACTATCAAATGCAATTGCAACACGGGACAGTACAGCTGCAATAATATTTTAATGACATCACGAATTATGTCAAATAGGACAGGGATGCCAATAGTGAAGATAATGTACTCGTGTCATCATCAAATACGATTGCAACATGGGATCACAACTGCAATAATGTCTTCATGATATCACTCAATATGTTCTTTGCAATGCTATAGCAGTTCTTAACATAAGCTCACAAGTCCCATTCAGAAAAAACAATATGCCATTGTTAAGACTGAGAGCGTGTGTGCTGCAAACATCAGTTTATGTTCAACTAAACATTAGTATATCATGTCGCTTGTTCCGCCCCTCATACGCACGTCATGTTGGCTACCTGAGATATTAAACCATTTGGGGAAAGGTACGTATTCGCCAGCCTGATTAATATTTGCACTATCCCTAAATGAAGGAACGCCAGTTACTCCCCTTGAAGAACACGTAATTCTCGTGGCAGTTTTAACGAGACACCCTTTTTAGATATTTATAAATGTACATTTGATTTATGTCGAGCCTGGGGCACGGGATGGTGGCTTTAGTTTAAGGAACGTATTGCCCGCTCTGTATCGTATCCGGCTCTCTTAGCAACAGGGATATATTACATCAGCTGCTGTGGAAAAGCAGCATTTCGTTTCAAGAAATCCACCAAGTGTAACAGTATTAGAACTGGCAGCTAAGGGTGAGTTAATTACTTTTCTTTTCTTCACTTTTAAAAAAACCCTATTCCTTCTTGGTATTTAACGGACAAGTGATACGAATGCTGCTGAGAGAAAGCGCCTTAATCTACGCCATGGGAACATAACCATTTCATTATTGTTACTGCCAAGAACTGTACTGGGGTTCTTGAGAGGTATATAGAAGTTGGCATTCAAGTATAAGACAAAATATTATTGATGTCAACTTCTTTTTATTGTAACACAACGTTTCTGGGCTTTTCCTTGCCCCTTCGTCAGGTGAATTCAATAAAGGGAAGTTGACATCCAAAATATGTTGTCTTATGCAAGAATTGTAATGTTTCTTTAGGTTAAATATTGCATTCTAATTACACTATTACGTTCTTCCTAACACTAAATATTTCATTGGCCATTAATGAACACTTTGCAATAAAATTAAACTTAGACTCATACATGAATCCGTGATTCAAATTGTATAGCACAATTAACCACATCCTCCAACGTCATACATCTAACAGACTGTCATAATCTCGTCATTTGTTCTTGCTTCATGTCAGAGTAGTAAAGCAGCCGTTAACTGATATTAAAGGATTAACACGACTTGTCACATTACAATGTTAACACCTGCATTTGGAAGACGTCGAGTTGCTTTCTTGTTTTTTTATTTGTGCAGGTTTTAATGCACTTAGTCATGGCAGACATCGTGCGTTCTAAACCTTCCACATGTTGTTGCAATTTTAGTAAATACCAGTGGCAATGTAATGTTAAGCAAGAGAATATCGATCTATTGAATAATTAAAGTGATTAAACCCTTTCCATAATCATAAGAAATCTCTGCTAAAGCAATAATTCAATACTACGAAATGTATGTGTGAACTGCAATCAAACAGGGATGATACCAGGTAACTTCGTTTATACCCGTCATTAATACATGCAAAGGCAAGTCAAACATTCTGAAAAATATGCAAAAGAATATATGGTATCACTCAAAGAGGTAATTGCACCGGGCATAATAAATGGAATATGGCACTAATTACAAGCCGGTATTGGCGTGAAATCCATCGAGACTATTGACTGTGACAACTCAAAAAGTAATAATGGATTGTAATACCTTTTGTGGAATATAATAGTTTTTCTCATCGAATGAAATGAAATGTGTCTCATTCATGTAGTGACATATCGCCAAGTAACATGAATATAGTTTTAATCATATTGATGTGCATTATTTCAGTTTTATGTGTTAAATTTGAAGACATTCATTAGTCTTCTCAACCCAACTGGTTGTATGTAAATTCATTGCTGGATGACTTAATTTCATATGTAAATGCTGTTATAGTTTCCGTAGTTACCACTTCTGACCTCATCCATGTGGATGTTTAGATAAAAGCGAAATAGTTCACTACCACGCCCATCATTTCGTGAAGATCCGGGCTAGAATTCATCAGCACATGCTTGCCGCAAGAGGAGGCTAACGGAACTAAATTGTTGGGATCCCTGTCTTGGTTGACAAATGCAATCGTATCCCAATTTATTGCGTAGATCGATGTTGATTATGTCAACCATTGGTTTATCCGGTCCAGACAAGTTATACACACACCACCGTCATATAGAGGGAATGTTGCTCCAGCGGCGTAAACAAAGAGCAGACACACCAATTGACAACCGTCACTTTTAGACACTTTTAATACAGATTCAGGAAATGTCGTACGTCGCGATAACTACAACACTTTTTGATAATCATCTTTTTGATAATCATCATTTTGATAATCATCATTTTGATAATCATCATTTTGATAATCATCATTTCTCCTGAGCATAGCAAATATTTGCTAACTATAACAGATTTACAAAATCAGTAATATTACATGGGCAATATCATATAGCCATATGTGTCTTGGGTCTTAGCCGAACAGTCTTATATATCCTTTCAGCTAATATAATCATTATGATACTAGCAACTAATATTATGTTGGAATATGCTTCCGAAATGAACACTCCATTAAGTTATGGTATAATATGGATCATGACTGATGTTGCAACGGGATGTTAGAAGTATGACACAATTCATATCTGCCCTATTTTGCAGTACGAAACAACAGTCTTGGTACAGACTTTGTAGCTATATCTATTCAGTTATGGTCATTATGCATCTTCAGCAGACATAACAAAATTTAACCTAATTCATTTCAGCTTTGAATATACACCACACAAACATATCGAATATAATCAGTTCTTGATCCATGGGGCATTTGCTTCTAAATGCAGTGACCATCGGTCTTAAGAAACTCAGCTCAAAGCATATGTTTCTTAGGATACAATATGTGAAATGTCGGACTTAACAAAATCTATGTGAAATACATATCTAAGACATATAGACAAGATGGCACCCCATTGACACTAGTTTCCCTTTTTGCTGATATGTTCGTTTAGAATATGAATAATAATTTGCGGTATGACTGATAAACTCAGGGACGTTTGGTCAGAAACTTTAATTAACCCATCTGGAATATTTTTATCTGATATCGTTCAATAATTGTCAAAAAGCCAATTCCCTTCCTTCGGTTTACCAATCTGACGTAGAAATAAAGAGACAAGTGAAACAGCCTTGTCTGTTTCATATTTAGATGTGTGCATACAAATTAAGAAATGTAAAACCTATTGACAAACTGTACCGCAAGAGATGTAAGTTCCCTTTACGCAGATAAAAAATCCAGCATCCCTTGCATTTGGTGCATTTTGCAGTACAACCGAGAATGCCCCTCCTACGAATACCCTTGCTCGAAAGTTGTGTCACCAACTTACAACATTCAGGCGCCAGCAAATCTTTCAAAAAAACAATGTGACAGGCATTTGGGGAACACATTTCCAAATTTGAGGGATCCGTGACAAAACGGATTCTGAATTGAATTCTTTTGGATACATAGATATTTTTAGCTTAAAATCAACAAGCTTTTATTACAAATTATCCCACCCCCTCTCATTCATGTCTTAATGCATATTTGAAATCGTATAATATACTTAAAGTACTATAAACAATGGTTATTAGGTTTTTGCTTCATAATTATGTTTGCAGTACTGATTTCACAGACTGTTAGAATGAATGAAGTATTTGGGTGGTCACAAACATTTACACCGTGTCGCCTCGAGTGCCAGCCTCCGACGTCTCCCAGTCCCTGAACACCCTCGTTATATTGCTTGTTTTGTGTCCGTGATGTGATGTGGAGACCTTGTGAGCACCATCACAGTCACCTTGCACGTTCTCAGATGACGGATCACCACGCGGGAGGAAACTGACTTGATGCCTGCAACCAGTGTCAGGCCGAGAGGATGCTACTAACGATAAACACGTATAGCATTTAGTAGATGTTTCTCTCCAACCATTACCTGTCAACCGCAACACCTGGTGAACGTAAGCCGGGGTCAGGGGGAGGTCACGTGACGCGCCCAAACAGTGGGCGAAGTGAGTCGCCGACAGTCTCATGGTCACGTGACTACTTTACTGTACATTCCACTCTGCTTTACTATCTCCGATTTGACAGATCTCAGTGAATCATAATAAAATCCAGTTTATTGTTTTGTCTCGTGGAGAATTGTCTGTTTATTGGTGGGGGCGGTGGGGTAGCCTAGTGGTTTATGCGTTCGCTCGTCAAGCCGAAGACCCGGGTTCGATTCCCCACATGGATGTGAAGCCCATTTCTGGTATCTCCCGCCGTGAAATTGCTGGAATATTGCTAAAAGCGGCGTAAAACTAAACTCACTCACTCACTGTTTATTGCTGTATGATTTATGTAATCCAATCTTAGAGAACGCTCATTTCTTAAAAGTGTTTGTTTGATTTATGGCGTCGTGCTGGTATGTTTATTTAGTTTCTGAAATGATAAGACAAGTTGACGTTGTCAACGAAAGCCTCATTGTGAAAACGGGACAATTCCATTATCATAACTCTCTATTTACTTAAGACATTTTATTAAGGACCTTACAATTACTACTGGTTAAGACGTCCACAGTTGCCAATTTCAGAATCTGATCTTCTTGTCTGATAATGTATAATACGACAACAAGCGACTACTTCTTCCTAAAAAATATTTTGTTCATGATGCCTTCTATAAAAATCCTCATCTGGAAATATTCCGATAAAAATTTGATCATTTAATAAAACTACTAGTCATAACTAAGAAACGCAATTATAGATCAATATCTGTAAAGAATGAGCGATTGGCTGACTGCAGAACATAACATACTTAAATTTGTTCGTGAACATATGATTTAATCATTGAATTCAGCGATCCTTTTTGTTTGCAATTTTCATCACCAGCTTATCTTTAACGCAATATTGAATTTGTTTCGGTGAACAATAGCTATTGGTTATTCCCTAGCCTTGACGTTTCGTTTTCACTGAAGAGTTTCGGACATCGAAACGCATGGGTCGTCTTTAGTTTACTTGTATTCCTTCGTAAAGTTTTGTACAGGTTACACAAAACCAAATGTTTTCCCACAGACTTCCATACTAACGTTAAATGTTCTTAAAAAATATCAAGGGCGTTTCAAGCCATTAGAGGTGCAATAAAAACACAAGTTTTGACTAGGTTAACCAATTCCTTTTCCGAGTACAGGAAGCTGGTGGCACCAACCCCAGTTTCGCACAAAATGTCACCTACTTGAAAATATCTGTGCACACATTCAACATAAGCCATCGTGTTTGAAAAGGCAGCAGTAGATATTAATAAATGTGGTCAGTTTTAGTTACTGGATGGGTGTTAATTTAAAACACATTAATATCCTACACAATATCATCCAATCACAGCTGTCACAAGCCTCCATCAGAACTGAAGTTCTCTGGGAGCTCAGGGAGCAACTGATTTTTATTTAGTGTAGTAGAACCTGTATCACAGGCAAGTAAACACGTACTGGGCCAGGCCGTGACAGGTCTGTCAGGGTAGATATATTGGTAACCATACGTCAATAGCCTACATGAATAACTTATAACGGTACATGCCGACATATAGGTGGATGAAAGTCACTGTGACTTACAACGCTGTTTTATGACGGACCTAAGAAGCATGTACCTTTGACAGTTTAGCTACACCCAGCACATGTATGCACCGAGAGGTTATGTACGTGAAGGCCGTTACATAGAAGGGACAGATGAAGGTGAAGAGAGTGTCACGCAACCTCTGAAGATAACATATGGAACAGCATTAGGGCAATAGTCTAAAATGTATTTAAGTCAGTATAAATGAAGCTAGACATAAACAGACCGGGAACTATTGTCGTCTACTCGGGAGTGAGTGAGTTTAGTTTTACGCCGTTTTAGCAATATTCCAGCAATATCACCGCGGGGAACACCACAAATAGGCTTCATACATTGTACCTATGTGGGGAATTGAACCCGGATCTTCAACGTAACGAGCCAACACTTTAACCACTAGGCTACCCCACCGCCCGTCTACTCGAGAAATATGTTAACAAGTCGAAAATTCTATACTAGAATGTACCTCTACAACTACATAAAAGATACTTTCAGCTATGTAGATGAAGGTATTTTCTACGTAAATGTTAAAATTATTTTAAACTGTGGCACTTTCACCCTTCCATAGAAACATGCCTCTGTCACTGCCAGGTTTTCTGTCAGTCACGCTGATGCCCTCCCAACAGTGATATATCGCGGTATTGTCTCCGATCCTTTAATCCCTTCCAAGGCCATTTATTCAGACTTTATTATTTGTTTGACATTTTGATCGTGTATGTCGGTGATAGCAGCTTATTTCAAATATACTGATGCTGTCTCCCTTTAGGGGATTATGTGAAAAATGCTGAACGAATTTTGTAAGGGGAATATCTGTAGGTGTTCTGCGATCATTTCCTGGTGATACAGACAGACCATGAGTGAAAAGTTGTAAATGACGAGACCTCAAAATGACGCATACATACATGTAAGGAACGGACGAAGACAACAGTTAGGTTGGTTGGTTGTTGTTTATCGCCGCAGTAGTCCAGTCTGGACCAGACAATCCAGTGATCAACAGCATAAGCATCGATCTACGCAATTGGGATACGATGACATGTGTCAACCAAGTCAGCGAGCCTGACCACCCGATCCCGTTAGTCGCCTCTTACGACAAACATGGGTTACTGGCCCGCATCTTCACGGGTATTGACAAATATAACTAGCAGGTATTATATGAGTGTGTTCCAAGTGATTTTATGAAACAAATGTTAACAATGTCGTATATTGCTGCTCGAGAGCACATTCTGAGTTACTTAGAATCTCTGGAACTTTAACACGAATTAACTCACTATTGGTGTCCTCTCATTGTTAATGTCCTGACATTAAGTTTTAACCATGTTGCATTTATCCAGGAACGCTGTAATGCGATTCAAAACCATAGCTACAGGAATTGCTTTTTGGAAGCGGATTCGCCTAGTCTGAGCCATTAATGAACACACTACTTTAAATATGCCGGTTGAGACTTCTTGACATAATGTTATCTAAACAGTATGCATACAGTGTCGAATAGGAATTTCCTTCTAAAAGTTGACTGCACGATTCCTACAAGATCATGAACATGTGTTTATAAATCACATGGGAATGATCCTAGATGTTCCCCAAAATGTGTTCCACTTTTGTCATCCGGCATAAACGCACGCGAAGGCTAGTCATCTGTTTGCCGATTTTACTGTATCTAGTCAGTATTGGCACACGTCATGAACAAGAGCAATAATTGACCTGAACAAAAATATATGACACTATGGAACATACGCTACAGGTCAAAATATCACATGTCATTCGTCAACAGTTGTGGCACTGGTGCGTCCGTTGTAGAAATGTCTTCCAAATGTCTACAATAAAAGCTTTTGAAGTCATATACATTGTTTCTAGTCATGCCTTACTTTACACATGCATGCCGGATATGTACTGGGTGACACCCATTCTATTTGCAATGTCCGCTAACCTGGACGGTTTGTTTCTAAAGTTCCCTCTCGAACTGTCGAGCAATTAGCATTAGATTCGCAACACACCAACCACATGTTTGTATCTCGAACTGAATATAATCAGACGTCATTCGTCAATTACGACGTTTAACCAATGAAATTGATCTGGGGATGGGTAATGCCTAGCTGTGGTTTCCTCGCCGATTCATACCAAAAGATGCATGCATGAGACATTTTTATGGTGGCTGATTAGGGCCATCGCTTTCTCGCTTTCTCGTCTCGTGTTATCGCTTTCTCGTCTCGTGTTATCGCTTTCTCGTCTCGTGATATCGCTTTCTCGCCTCCGAATTTTACGGCGAGAAAGCGATGGCCCTTATCAGCCACCATACATTTTGCAGTATAATAACGTGAGCGGTAAGATACATTCAATCTCCGTATCCCTCGGATAAGATTGGTTGATGTACCCTCTTTGCTTGTAAAATTTTGTCCCAGCCTTAAAAACAAACATCAACTAACTTAGCGGGTGCAAAAATCCATGTCCACCTCGAAACCAGGGGAAAATAATACTATACGTGTTCATACAAGATCAACATCGTCCGTTCATTGTTGTTCCCAATGATACAACAAGGATTTACTATATTCAACATATACCCTGTGATATCTCTCACACTTTTATTTTACCATATTCACTCAAGTGTAAATACTACATTACCGTATAGTTTTAATAACTGTGCCCCTTGCTGCGCGAGTCTGTTATCTGGCTAATGCCGGGCAGTTCAAACAATAAGGGTTTGTCTCTGACCTGTACTGCACTAGCGACCTTCTTATATCGCTGCAGGCAAGGTTTCTTCTTTGACCATAAACAAAATATAAAGTAGTGATCTCTCACTGACCTGTCCGCGAAGAGGGCTATACGCTCACCCCACTTAAGACGCTACAAACAATTAACAGCTGTTGAGTCTAAAAGCAACAAACCCTTTCCACATCCATAAGAAATCTCTGCTAAAAGCTGAGTCAATTGTACGATTCTGATTATACCATCATGAGCATGCGTTTATGAATCGCTATTAGATATTGATGATGCCAGGTTTCAGCGAAACGTTGAATATATGCAGTCCCACCGGCGACATCAGTCATAAACAAACACAGAGGCTAGTTAGTTGTTCACCTGCAAAATACGGGACATATGGAAGTGACATTAATGAATTTCGTCCTTTTGTGATTTTTGTTGATTCGTCAAATGTAGTCTATCGTAAAACATTTTTAAACCTTTGCTAGGGCATTGAATATCACCGGCGGTGGGTAGCCTAATGGTTAAAGCGTTCGCTCGTCACGCCGAAGACCCGGGTTCGATTCCCCACATGGAGACAGTGTGTGAATCCCATTTCTGGTGTCCCCCGCCGTGATATTGCTGGAATATTGCTAAAAGCGGCATATAGTAAACTCACCCACCCTTGAATATCACAGCCATGGTATAACAATTTCTGAGCAAGAGTCGTCAAACAGTCGTGCGATGTCATATTACACACAGCGCTTCAAAATATATACATGTAGCGAATTATGTGGAAAAAAACATTCGCATCTTCCTTGACAAAACAACTTACTGTAAATATATTGAAAATAATTTTAATTGTAAATATTATCTGGATGAATGGTGCTTTACACAGCATTACGATTTTATTGCCATAATACCATAACATCATAGTAATATCGCATTCACATATCATAGCGACCTAGAAACACATATATTTACTTTATAGATTCATCAAAGTCTGTCTCTGTCAGTCCCCTCAAGTTCACTTTGGCTTCAGGGTGATATATTCCTAAGACCTGCATCACCTTCGTCCCTATGCAAACTGATATATCTTGATGTAACTAAAATACTCTTCAAAGTGGCATAAAACTATACTCATTCAGTCACTCTGTAGGTCAAGAAAGGCACACAACAATGAAATAAGCAGTCCGAATACCCGTGATTACTTTCCTCATTTATATACAAAGTAATAGTACTCCATCACAATGATTCATTGTACATGACATTCGTTTATACGGTCGATTTTGGAGGACAGGCTAGTATTGTTGTCTGCTATTTACCTCCATTTAAGGAATAACATGATTTAGATTTCATATCACACCATTACAATCTTCTCTCTCTTTCTAACAGCAGGATGCGGTTTGCTGCGGTAGTCGGGTGTGTCCTGGCGCTGGTTCTAGGTGAGTCGGCTTAATCAACAGCGTTGTTAAAATCCCATAACTCCCCTAAATACTACCAGCGTTGCTAAATGGGTTATAAAATCCAGTCTGACAGTCGAGCCAACGTCAGTCGATTACTTTCACTGGATATACATTGAACATGGATACTGCCATAGCATCTCTAGTTCGTGTGGCTTTCCTGCTTCCGTTAAGGAATCCACCAATAGATGAGCGTAAGTATTACAGGAATTATTCCTCGTTGCCATAGCAATTTGTAATAGCTTGCAGTTCCAGGTAATAGCTGGCACAAAGACGTGCATCCCCACCCTGATATTTCGACAGGTCAAAACCTGGATACTATCGATAATATATGGGTTTCCCTTATTAAGTCGACAAACGTGATTTTGATTTTAGGATATAGTGCCGATAAGTCGACAGAACATAATACATTCGTAACTACTCGTCCCTTTCCGTAACCTAAAAGAAGACTCATATCGCTCTCGTCGCCATGTCCGGGAGAAATATTTCCCAAGCCAATCAGAATGTGCGTATGTAGAGAAGAAATTGGGTCAAATTAGTCAGTTGAAATAATTTCATTTCGGCTTACACAATTTTTTTCCTAGACACTTCAAGTATATTTTAATTAGTGCATAGTCCTCCTGGGTTTCCTGAATTTCTTATTAACATTATGGCGTAGGAAAGTATTTAAGCATGTTAGACATACCCTTTGAGGTAATTTCCTTGGCGTGGATGCCATGTTGGTTTTCCAAGTAAACTAGAGCTACATGCCCGTGAAAATAGTTCGGCGACTAGACTATTTTTTTCTCTCTGCGCTTTTGCGCTCAGACAGAGTCAAGTTCAGTAAAATGGCTACGAGAGGGGTACGAGTCTTCTTTCTGGTTACGGAAAGGGACGAGAAATTGCGAATGAACGTAATATCGTCTTAAACGACATCGCGTTACAATGAAGTTTAAATTATGCATTAAGCATTAAATGGCTACAGCTCTGACAACAAAGATAGCTCACGGAGGATGAAAGTCTAGCAAACTATTGACCGTTTCATGGAAAAAGTTGTACAATTGTTATTACTATTTTAATTCATGGCTTTGTAGAACTACAATTCATTAGCATTATCTGTATCTATGACAATGTGGGTATTCTGTGACACATTCTTGTCGTGTGTAGATCTGATTGTTGTGATGTCGTGTTGTCACAACGCGCCTATGGCGATGTACATGCTTTCGTTCACTGGTTTGTCTCTCGCCAAACAACGTTTCACACTCTTTCAGAGGCCTGGCAACATCTGATATGTTGAAGGAAAACCAACTTCTATGGATAGTCAACTTCTTTATTGCAATGAGTTCGACGTTTCGGTGCAGGTACTAACACCGTTACAAACGTCGCACTCAATGCAATCAAGAAGTTGACTATCTATAGAACTTGGTTTTTCTTCATCTATACATCTATATATTCTAAAAGGCCTCTCAAAGAAGTTAGCTGATATGATTACAACTGGTGCAGCTACCAGTGAAAATGTCATTTGTAGGATAAGACAGACATGTCATTTGTAGGATAAGACAGACATGTCATTTGTAGGATAAGACAGACATGTCATTTGACAACTCTCCATAATTGTACAGCACCAATGTTAAGATCGTCATCAGCAATCGATAGTGTCAATGGGGCTGACTGTAAATAGAATCGTTCGTTCACACCAATAAGATCAATGTTCATTAATGAGTAATATTTTCATAAATCGCCAAATTCTTTTTATTTTAATTTCTTCATGGTAAGATGTTAAGTTATGTCTTGTAGCTTTTGGACAGCGTTCTACTTCTGGGAACCCTTTACCCTCCAGCTTGAAGTTGTTTTTAGACGAACGACTTCTTTTAATGAAAATCCATATTAAAATATCCAAAGATAGAACCTAATTTTTGCTGAATTAAATAAAATAATTCTGGTTCATATTACTGCATGAAAACATTCTTCCAGACATTTCTGCAGGGAAAAAATAATCCTGCAGGAAAAAAAAATTCTGCCAAACATTTCTGCGAAAAAAATGTTCTGCCAGATATTTCTGCAGAAATACATTTTGAGAGTCAATTTGTGAGCTAATGAACATGTAAACACACTTGCACATGTGTTTGGGGATTTATCTCCTCAAGATCTTTCCTATGATATAACAAATGTCTTTGTAGCTTTCTTCCTTTTGTGTGTCAAGATTTGCTGGTCTTTCTTAAGTTGTCCCGCCCGGCCTTAATGCTAAACGTAATTTTCAAATTACTTTAGTATATACCTGGAAAAAGTACCGCAACACCCCATATGTATCAATATGTTACCTTTAACCCTAGCAGTACACTGTGTGAAGCCCATTTCTGGAGTCCCCCGCCGTGATATTGCTGGAATAGTGCTAAAAGCCGCGTAAAGCTAAACTCACTCACTCACTCACTCAGTTTAACCATAGCAAATGAACTTATCTAAATGCTCAATTCAACTAACTATCTGGATCAGTTGACCCTCAACGGATAATCAAATGGCAAATCAAAACGCAAAAAGAATGAACAACTGTTAGTTTCCAGAGAAGGAAGAATGGTTAATATGAACTAATTTTGTAGCACTGATAAGTATGGCCGTATGACGGTGACAAATGCGGTCATTTTCAAGATTCTATGTCACAATCCTCAGGAAATCACGTAAATATCCGTATGTAACCATCGCCAACTATAATAACATCTCCGACTCTCCTTCTCATTGGGCTATTTGACGTTGAGGTAAATGCTTTCGATTCTCGAAGGAAGGTTTGTTCCAATACATCCTGGTTTTGTACCGGAAGGTATCTCTGGCGTATTCTGCGACCAATAATGTCCCAAACATGCTATAAGGGATTGCGATCTGAATTCTAGGTGGGCCAAGTGGACTTGCTACTGTCTCTTGGCCTACAAAATCACAAGCGGAACGATTCGGCCCTCTATTGTCATTCATGAAGACTGACTTTCTGTTTCAGAGCATGATCATTGAAATGTGGTACAATAACACTATCTATAGGATGTCATTGATGTGCCATTGTCCATTCAGATATTAATTTGCTGACTATCGCAACGTCATCCCCACAGCATCAAGAAATCGAAACCCCGCCAAACGGTAGTTGCTCCCGGATATTCCGTTGTGTATATGCAGTATTTCTGCAGCATCAACACGAGCTCAGCCATCGGTCATGAACAAAAGAATTGGAATTTCGCCCGGCCAGGGTACTAATCCCCATGACATCAAATTCGAGTGATGTCGAGCTTGACACCAGGTGCTCGTGCTGTCTTGTGCTCTGGGGATAACAACGGACGTCTGATAGGTCGTCTGGCTCTTTGCCTTGTCGGGTTCAGGCGATTTCGCAAACGACGACGTGAAGGTCACTCCGATTTTAACACGCCACACGCCACACGCCACACGCCACCTGACATGAACGGTTGACGTCTTGTGGTTCTGAGAAGGGTTGTATCCTCCCTAGGAGTTGTCACTAGTGTTCACAGGAACGCTGAAGGTCCTCAGTTTGTGTGCGTTTTCTGACCACTCGGCAGAATGGCAACCGTCAGTGCAGTTGCAGTAGCCCTCAATGACATGCCAGCATACCAAATATCAAAACCTTGCCATCTTTAAGCAGATTTCAGATGACCTCATATTTGCTTATCAACTAATCTTCCAAGTTATAGAGCTGTCAAAACAGGTCACTGAGAACTGATATTTGCTCAATGACGGGTACACGTATTGCGCGTGATATCGATGCTCGCCATTGGTCGTAGAGCATTTCTAAAACCATGGTACAGGGCGCCCGAAGGATCAAAACAATCAGACATAATTGTTATATGAATATATTGGTTACATAATAGGTGTTGCGACACTTTCACCATGTGTCTAGTTGATGATACCCCATTAGTCAGACACTCCTTAAGTCAGGGACCCCAGTTGTCAGACACCTGAGTGGCGGTGGAGAAGGCTCATCCCTTCAGTAACAATAGATCAGTCCTAATTAGTATATCTACTGTTCTTTAAGATCAAGTGACCAGCATAAATGCCTAAATACATGATAAATCGAATTATCTGTCTGAATTATCTATCTGACACCAAAATATACATTATCACAGAAATTATTGTCTTATCCTATAGATAATAAATATATATTTAACGGGGAAATGGAAAATAGGCTTCTGCCTTGGTCATGTCGCATTATTGAAGTAAACATCCAAAACAGGATGTAGAGTAAGGATTTAATCACAATAAGTGGTATGTGGAGTTTATGAAGCAATCATCTTGCGCAAAATGTTGAGCTGAGTACTGGCAACATGTCGAATCGAGTTTACCCATATCCGTTAATCTGGTTTATGCAGTGAGTGATGCATACTTTGACTGTCGACGGCGGGGGATGTCTTGCAATGGGGGAGCGTGTGACCCCATCACAGGGAGCTGCATCTGCATCAACAACTCCACGGCGAAGGACTGCGGCCTAGGTAGGTGAAGCCTGCACTTGCCATACAGGATGTTACAGACACTGTTAGAAGTACACTGTATATCAAGCATACATTCATCCTGACACATGTATTGTAGACACAGATGATACGAATGTCATACATGCATCTCCACATCCAACCAGACACCTGGATTTCTGACACAGGTGCCACGGACACTGATTGTAGCTATAGTTTAGCACAGTATTGTCACGAATATCACACATGTATCACCACATTCAACCAGACACCTGGATTACTGGCACAGGTGTCACGATTATTACACATGCATCATGGCATCTAACCAGACACCTGGATTACTAACACAGGTGTCATTATTATTACAAATGCATTATGGCATCTAACCAGACACCTGGATTACTAACACAGGTGTCATTATTATTACACATGCATCATGACATCTAACCAGACACCTGGATTACTAACACAGGTGTCACGATTATTACACATGCATCATGGCATCTAACCAGATACCTGGATTACTAACACAGGTGTCATTATTATTACAAATGCATTATGGCATCTAACCAGACACCTGGATTACTAACACAGGTGTCATTATTATTACACATGCATCATGGCATCTAACCAGACACCTGGATTACTAACACAGGTGTCATTATCATTACAAATGCATTATGGCATCTAACCAGATACCTGGATTACTAACACAGGTGTCACGATAATTACACATGCATCATGGCATCTAACCAGACACCTGGATTACTAACACAGGTGTCATTATTATTACAAATGCATTATGGCATCTAACCAGACACCTGGATTACTAACACAGGTGTCATTATTATTACACATGCATCATGACATCTAACCAGACACCTGGATTACTAACACAAGGTGTCACGATTATTACACATGCATCATGGCATCTAACCAGATACCTGGATTACTAACACAGGTGTCACGATAATTACACATGCATCATGGCATCTAACCAGATACCTGGATTACTAACACAGGTGTCACGATAATTACACATGCATCATGGCATCCAACCAGACACCTGGATTACTGACACAGGTGTCATGAATTATCACGCATGTATCTCTACAGCCAACCAGACACCTGGGCACTGTTTGTAACTATAATTTAAGTGTCGCCTGACATCAAACTAAACATTGTTGTCGAAGACGATGTTTAGTTCCATATCACAAAAGAAACCACCCATAAACCGTTACTCCGTTCGTACTTTCAGGTTAGGAATCTCGAATACCCATATCCTTGCCTCAGGGTTTCACCAATCTCATAATCGTCTGAAACTTGCATCACTTTGGGCTATCCTCTCACGCAAAGCTGGCAATATAATGATAAACGTAATATGAATGGACTATCGTCAGAAACAGCGTTAAAGCGAACTGAATAAGTTACAAGAATCCTATACCCCTCTGAGATCGATAATCACCATATCATCATTCACTGAATGTCGTGTTTACGTGTAACAGGGCCTGAGACCACTGGATGTGTTGGGGAATGTCAGAACGACGGGACGTGTACCGACATCTTGGGTCCCCCGAGCTGCTACTGTAACGAGACTTTCACTGGTCCCCTGTGTGAACTGAGGCGATGTGAGTATTCAATGTTATTACATGAAAATATGTAGCCAGTCCTTAGATCCATGCTAACATTATCTTGTCTCTATGTAGCTGGAATTGTGTACAAAATGAACAAACATTTTTTTCTGCAGATGTTACAACAATCGTGAACTTGATATCCTGAAAAATTTGATTTCACAATGGTTTCAAAAACAAATTTCTTGGCTCCCCACTGCCGAGACCAGAACTATATGTCAAAGCGTTGATAGAAGAATACTGCATCTTTTAACCAAAATATTATTCCCATCACCCCAACCCCTCTCCATGGGGGCAGATGGTGTAGCCTAGTGTTTAAAGCGTTCGCTCGTCACGCCGAAAACCCGGGTTCGATTCCCCACATGAGTACAATGTGTGAAGCCCATTTCTGGTGTCCCCCGCCGTGATATTGCTGGACTATTGCTAAAAGCGGCGTAAAACCATACTTACTCACTCACCCCTCTCCCAATCTCCCAAAGACCCCCCCCCCCCCCCCCCCTCCTCTATGGCACTCACTTCCCACCCGCATATTACATGGTGGGTAGAACATTTTGTTCACGCCAACATTTCAGGTATAGAAATGGGGATGATGAACGAGCCTATCGCATCAATAAGCAGGTATGTTCCTTAATTATTATGTTTGACTGTGTCCAGCCCAAGTGGAGTGTAGCGGAGAGAATATGACCATAACTATTCGGCCCTACACTGGATTCGTCGGCAGAGTGTACATCCGAGACCAGGCCAATAATGATCAGTGTGCATTCGAAGAAAAGACAGATGAAGCAACACCATACTACCAGCAGATCTACAACCTTCGTGAAGATTGTTCCGCTATCGTGAAGAATGACACCCCTGGGGTAGGCGTGTCTTCAACGTCTTCGGGGGCGCTTGGGTAGCCTAGTTGTTAAAGCATTCGCTTGTCACGCCGAAGACCCGGGTTCGATTCCCCACATGGGTACAATGTGTGAGGTCTATTTCTCGTGTCCTCCACCGTGAAATTGCTGGAATACTGCTTAAGTCGGCGTAAAACTACACTCACTCACTCAAAGTCTTTGCGATAGGTGCAGTTAATTACAGCGTGTTAAGTGCTTCACGCCTGGTAAATGACGACTGTCTGTAAATAATCAAGCCTGGACCAGACAATCGAGTGATTGAGCATCGATATATGCAATTGGGATAAGTCTGCATAGATATTAATTATATTATCCCCATGCACACTTGTCGTCACAACTTCAAGTAAAGCAGGATAAAGCCGTATTTTTTGTTCTAGAAAACCAAAGTAAACAGGTTTATTTGTTTCAATTATAATATGACAAACAATTCTGTGTGGTAAGACTCCAGTTGTCAGCATTAAGATGTCAAGTTTGTTGTTAAGCCGGATTGGAGATACATGGTCGTCACTTAGGAGATAAACATACTGTGTTTGAAAATCAGAGGTATATAACGAAATCATAATAGCTCTAAATTTGATTTAAAACCGAACGCGTAGTGAAAGGATTGATGTATAGGTTTAATGTGAATGAAAATATGTTTACCCTGATAAACAAAGCAGCAATGCTGTTTTTTGCAGGTTGGTGACGTGACGTTTCAGCGGGAGGTGATTGTTCAGTACAATCCCAATCTGGAGACGCGGATAGATCAGATTATCACAATCTCCTGTGAACATATCGCTGCCAACACTTCAGATCTAGATAGCACTATGCCAAGCGTCGACGTCGACCAAAGGTGCGAATGGGTTGTGTGATGAAATGACTGATAGGAGAAAAATATTCTTGACGATTTTCTTCACTTTGTGCCTGTGACGTGCATGAGAAGGGGTGAGCAGGGAACAAACATCTTTATCTGATCAGCACCGGCATCAGGTGACGTCATCCGTTAAGACCAATGAATGATTTTCCAACAGAGAGGAATGGATTCGCTTAAACTCTTATAATGATTGGTTGGTTGGTTGGTTGGTATATCACTGATGCGACCAAAATATTTTGTTGGGGTTTTTTTTAATATCAAACGCCGCACTCAGCAGTATTCCAGCTATATGGCGGCGGTCAGTAAATAATCGAGTCTGTACCAGACAGTCCAGTGATCAACAGCATGGACATCGATCTACGAAACTAGGACACGATGGCGTGTGTCAACCAAGTCAGCAAACCTGACCACCCGCTCCCACTAGTGTCCTCTTACGACAAGTATGTGTTACTGAAGACCAAGTCTAATCCGGATCTTCACGGGTCCTCGTATAATGAACAAGCCACAGATATACCGTGGTATCTTGTGCATCCTTCATAAGCATGATTCTGGCAGCCTTCTTATAAACAATGAGTCCACTTGTCGGCACTCTGTAACTCTGTAGTTATATTTAATGATCCTGAAGGCTTCGACTTCAGTATTTGTTATACTACTCTACGTGTGGTATATGCATGATAACCTGCTGAAAGTATTCAATCATGGGACATTGAAACATATAAATACTAATAAAACAAACAAGAAATATTTATTCGATAATGTTCAGTGAATGAGGGTTTCGTTGGCAATAATAACCGCATCATATCAATAATTATCTTACTACAAGCGACTGTGTCAGCCCAGTAATGTCTTTGGTCCGGTTCAAATTTCAAGTATTTACATTCTTCTGCCCGTCAGTGTTATAATGGTTCTGGTCATTGTGTTTGGTAAAATGGTGTAGGTGCGAACTGCCATAATGGTACTGGGTACGTATTTGCAGAACCAACCTTACAAGAGACGATACGAAGTCGGTGTACGAACCAGTGGAGTTCGAGATTCAGGAGAGAACTGGAGGCAAGGTCACTCCACCCGTCTTCATTGGCCGGGAGCTGCGATTGTTCTTCTCTCTCAAGGACACGGCAGGTAAGTATCATCTAAGGAACCTATCACCCATCTCCAAGAAGCTTACAGTGTCTTTGGTTAACAGGGCCTTGGGTCACTGGCGGTGGAAGTCTTCAAAATGGACTCACTGTTGTTTCACTGTTTCTTTCTTTCTTTATTTATTTTGTTTGTTGGTTGGTTGTTGTTGTTGTATTGGTTGTTTGTTGGGTTTGTTTTGTTTTTTTGTTGTTGTTTTTTTTGTTGGGGTTATGTGAGTGTTTTTTTGTGTTTCTTTGGTTGTGTTTTTTTTGTTTTGTTTTGTTGGGGGAGGAGGAGGGGGGAATAAAATATTGCTTCTTTCTTGGGAATACGATTAGTTCCTTCCTTTTAAATACCGTACCGCTCCTTTCCTGGCAATATTATATAGTTTCTTTCTTGTGAATACATTACATCTTATTGTTCGTAGCTTTCAAGGTTCGGAAATAAGAAAGAGACAGGAAACTACGAATGGTTATTATACAATATGCAGTGTATGTTACTAACAGACAAGTGGCATTTTCTGTACAGTGTTCAAGACGTTGAACGTGGAGAGTTGCATGGCTGTGAACGGGCTAACAGGTTCCAACAGGAAGACACAGAACCTGGTCCAAAACAGGTAAACTGCCCGTTACATCAAGTGAATTCCGGCAGGAGATAGATGAACATGGAACACACCATCACACAACCGTTGCAAAACATGTATGCAGAGCTGATGTTTACAACGTTTCAAGAAACCACAGAGATGCACCTGATACGTTTTCTAATCATCTCTCAATAAAGGTTCTCATCGTTATTCTGTATTCAATAGGATATGTTGTAAAAGACATTGTCTTCCCTTATGCGGCAATGTTGTTTTTTAATGTTGAAAAATGAACTACGTAAGAGCAGGAATCACTTCTAGAAAGTGATAGAAGCTTTAGTCTTGTCCTAAGTCTTTGCATAGATTGCTATGGCAGTACGAAGGAAACGGGATGTTTTTTCAATAAACGACTATGATTTGTATAGTGTCTGTGGATAAACAGAAAAACTAGGTGAGTAAACACAACGGTCGATAATTGACATATCAACAACTATGATGAACGATGGCTTAATATAAAGGTACAAAACTCTTTCCACATCCGCAAACCGACGACTTCGCCTACGTCATGAGCGTGTGTCTATTAATCCTTATCAAGCAGTGATGACAACAGGTGCCCCAGTATGATATCCCACTGGTGGCAGGAGTCATAAACACACGCAAAGGCTAGTCAAATCAGGGGAACGTTTGGTACAAGTCATGCATTGCTACAGAGTGTCAGTTATAAATCAATAGTATCATACTGAAGGGATAAACAAGGCTTTACAATGTGCATATTGTCTGTCAATGCATAGCTTGGATATTGAAATAGCATGTCTACCGCTCCACTTGCTCATGCTTGTCAAATGCGTGCTTTATATATGTGCTTCGTACGCGTGCATGTGCTTCCTTATTACTTGATAAATGTATTGATCATCCGAAACTAGCTACCACAGCAAATACTGTAACAGTGAGACTGAGTGAGAGTTCGATATCACTGGAGGTAAATTGGAAGGCTTGTGAATACATTAAAGGAATTAAAGGAAAGAAAGTAAATGAATTGCATTGCATAACAATGATTTGTAGACTATTCTGACGTCATTGACTCATGATCATGAGACGTCTCACATTCCTTTAATCGTAATGAGCGCAGTAGAGTTATAGGAATGACTATACGATGCCTGGTTATGTGAGTGGTGAGTGAGTATGGTTTTACGTCGCTTTTAGCAATATTCCAGCAATTTCACGGCGAGGGACACTAGAAATGGGCTTCACACCTTGTACCCTCATGGGGAATTGAACCCGGGTCTTCAGCGTGACGAGCGGGTGGTTTAACCAATAGGCTACCCCACCACCAGGTTATGTAGCATTTGACAGAGCTTCCAGCTGAACTTCATCTCTTGTTTCAGGATGTCTCTTCAGCTATACATATTGTTTGGCGCTATTCCTTCTTACATGGAGCCGAGACTTCTCGTCCTCGTAGTGAACAGGTCACATGTTGTATAGTCAGAGAAGGATAGTAGAGTAGAAACAATATTCCCCTAACGACTCACAGCGTATTATCCAATTACAGGCAAATACCAGCATGCGGTTAGTTGTGTTTCACGACTTAATAGTCATACGTCAGTAGTGACGTCGTTATAACGTCGTTGTGACGTCGTCATTGAGATTTATGATTGACATGTCTTGCCATTATCCCTTCCTACACTAAACTGTAATGAGTGGGTGAATGGTCATGGATGTATTCTCTACGGAACTGTTGTATGTACCGTTAACACAAGTCTTGCATATTCTGTAGATGATTATATTTTGCATAACACTGCTTTTTGCTACAGTCAATATGCGCAAATATGGATGCACGGTTGTCATGTTGCTGGTTGTGAGTCTCAGTATTGTATTCTGCTCTTGCATTGGCGCATCTTTCTTGCTATTCTGATACTGCTGCTGATAGTGCTGCTGCTTTTCATTGTTTGGATCAAACCACAGTTGGCATAACCATATATACATTATGTAAATGCGTTGATAAAAATAATTACTTATGTAACGTGTATAAAGAATCAACCTAACCTTCAGTTTGATGTCATGGAAGATCGTTAAGCCGATCTTTCAACATATTGCTGTTCTGTCGCCTGTAGCGATGTATGACTTCGGCCGAACCTGCTAGGAATCTCCACGTGATTGTCCACGAAGTATATTGTAAGTATATTTTCCAAAGGAACCTGGTGCAAATTTTAGCATGAATAAAAATTTTGGACACTGCAATTGACTGTGGCAAAAGAAAAAACACTAACATTTCATAACACTAAACGTTTTTGTTGACAAATGGTGTTTTGTTTTTTCCATCTGCAAGATCCTCCCTTTAACTAAAATATAAAACTTTTAGCAGAAGCATATCGGTACCGTTTGCACCCTAATGTCTTTAGTGACAGCCCATTAAGTTGAGTGAGTGAGTGAGTTGGTTTTAACGCAGCTTTTAGCAATATTCCAGCAATAACACTGCGGTGGACATCGGAAATGGTCTTCACACATTGTGCCCATGTGGGGAATCGAACCCGGGCCTTCCGCGTGACGAGCGAACGCTTTAACTACTAAGCTACCCACCGCCCCTCACATTTAGTTGAGGCATTTCTCATTCATCCTCGGTGACGAGCAGACTCTGATTGCAGATATAAGACTTTGACTGAATATGTTAGAATAATTTATCATATCTGACCTATCAGGGAAAGTTTGTAACCTACTGCACAACCAACACAAGAGAAAGGACATAGAGGGGCGCAATACCGAGCACTTTTAACACATTTTAAGCATTTTCACTAAATTTGATTTTGTAATGTATTTAGGTTGATCCTTTTAGAATATGTTTGTCACGATAAATATGATATAACCTTTTGTCTCTGCAGCTGTCCAACAATAGAATCGTTTGAAGTATTACGAGGGCCCCCAGCACGAAATTCGGACCAGACCGCTGTTGTCATCAACTTCGACGCTTTCAAGTTTGTAGACAGTCACGAGCTGGAGTTCGAGTGTAAAATCCGCACGTGTAAGGAGGGGGACACAAGATGTGAACCGGTGAGTATCGGAAAAGACCATCAACAACAAAATGATGATGATGATGATGACGACGACGACGATGACGACGACGATGATGACAGTGACAATATTGACGATGACGCTGACGCTGACGATGAAGACGATGAAGATGATGATGACAATGATGACGACGACGACGATGACAGTGACAATATTGACGATGACAATGACGCTGACGATGAAGACGATGATAATGATGATGACGACGGTGACAATGATGATGGTGATGACGACGATGACAGTGACAATATTGACGATGACAATGACGCTGACGATGAAGACGATGATAATGATGATGACGACGGTGACAATGATGATGGTGATGACGAAAACTGTGACGACGGCGATGATGATGGTAGAAACTGAAGACTGTGAATTGAAAAAAATGACATTAGCAGTCAACAGTGTCAATAATGTGTCACACCAACATTACCCTTCACTTGTTAATTTTCACAGCAATGCTTCGGAAAATTGTAGTAGTTGTGTTTAAGTCTCAGGAACATAAACATTTCCCTAAATATTTAGATAACCCGATGTGATTAGTGATTAGGGTACTCTAGCTCACGTCCTCTTCTCGCAAGATGAGCCATATGATCAGTCCATTTTTATCAGATAGCATTGTATTATTTTCAAGAATTTGCGACATTTAGTTGATATGGCGTCAGGTTGCTTTGGGCCTGAAAACAATGGAAAAACCAGTATGGACACGGCAATTAGCTGGAAATTATGTTATGTTCAATGAAATTTAATTTCAACTGCTTAAAGCAATTTAATAACTTATTAACTCACCTTGTAAAGTCCGCTTTATATTTATAGGTTAAAATTGTATGGCACTTTATTCTACTCTCCTGTCGCCACAGGAAACATGTTTTGGAGCCGAGACGGGGTTCGGGAGGAAGAAGAGAGACACTGGGAGTAGGATGCTGGACGATGATGAAACGGTCATGAGAAGGAGAATCACAGTGATAGATCCTCACTCATCGCAGATTATAACTGGTAAGTAGAACTGAGATGAAGGTGGGTCTGTCGCAAGTAAGGATGGAGTTCTCAGATGCAGAATAACTGTGGAGCGAATGACACGTCGACAAAACCCAGATCTGGACACGTTCGTGAAGCTTACATTCTCGGAGACATTTCTAATCATGTATTGTGATGGTACAACAACGACATCGGCTCATGACGCCAATGATGATAGCATGGAAGAGAATTGCAACATTAAGATGTACCTTTAAAGACGTTGCAAAATAGCATAGAAAGCAACCCCGATAAAACTCAGCGTTATGGTTACTTCAGTAACGCCGATCTGTTGTTCCGTGTATGATATGGAATCTAAACGTATTTTTGTTATATTTTTAATAATCCCGACGTTACGAGTTGATAATATAGTTACATATCAGGATAAAGTAACGTGTAATTTCGTAATGTGAGAAATCGACGATGTCTCACGGAAATCGAAAAAACTATTATGTCTGTTTGTATGTTTTAAATATGTCCATTTTTCATGTTAAATATCGGTGGGGGTAGGTTATTATTGACAGCGTTCACTCGTCACGTCGAACACTCGGGCTCGATTTCTCATATGGGTACAATAGGGGTACGTTTCATGTGCACGATATTAATTTAATATAGAGGTTTATTTTAGAAAGTTGCAATAGCATTGCGTTTGAAGTGTCTGTAAAAATATTTTAGTAGTTTTATTGTTTTGTTTTAAATATAGTTGAAAAAACTATATGAAGACATAGCAATGCACCAACGTGTGTCCTATTTGTTTAGGTTCTCCGAACAAATCCAAAGAATGCATTCAGAGGATAGAGATCATCGTTACCATCGCCATTCTGGCTGCCGCCGTCTTCATCCTCTTCATCGTCACTCTCTGCCTGGCTTTAAGAGCTCTACGGTCACGTGCTAAAACATCAGCCAGCAGCGACACCGACTCAACGACGTCGTCCGACGGCACACGCCTTAGAATACCCCGTGTCAGATCGGTGTTCTAGATCCTCTGCTGTTAAAAGCTAAAACAGGAAAATGTTTTTCAAACATCGGTGCGTCATTTGACGCCAGGCCTGTGAGTCATTGGTATTGCCAAATGCCTTCTCCGCGTCATGTGACGCTTACGTATCCATTAAATGAAATATTGACCTTTGACATTGCATTACAAGGCCGAGTGCAATGTGTATCATTTGTTGATATTCTCGGTGGATAAAACATTTCAAATAATCCGACTGCTTAAGCATATTTTCAAGTCCTAATCTCTCCACTCTTGAGAAAACTATATCTGAGAAATATATAATTTATATATTAAGAGTAATAATAGTAATCACACGTACCGATGCATGTAATGATAAATACAATCAAATCAAACAATTCAACATAAGTGTATCATTAGTTTATTCTCAAATATAATTTAACGTCCAATGCCCACGTGGATACTTTACACGGTTGTTTTGTAGACATTATCCAAGCATGTTGAGTATATCTTAATGATAATCGATCAATAATGTATTGCGTGAATACTAATCAATTCCAAGACACAACAATATTTTTGATAAATAAACATTAAACAATATATCACGTCTATTTACAGTTGTACCATGCAAAACAATGTAGTTCCTCTACGTTAATTTTATATGTCTGATTTACAATTGACAAAAATGAAAAATAATCTTACGTTGACGATAAAATATGGATTGTGTTACCAATCAAAGAACACTCACAATATGCATGATTTTTGTAATATAAGGTGATTAAAACGTTTAATACAAGACTGTTGGTGGGTATCGTAGACCCTGAGTCTTTAAAAATCAATCAATTTGAGGGCATAAATATACATTTTAAATAGGGTATTGCCATATGGTTCCAAATTCTGTGAATCAAATGTATATTTTTATACAACCAGAGATTAGCATTACAAATTCCTGCAGTCACTAGAGATGGTAACATAGACAGAATCAAATTTCACCAAATCGTTTAATCGTCAATATAACTGGTATACTTTCCTTATATTCCCAGTGGCGGTGGGGTAGCCTAGTGGTTAAAGCGTTGGCTCGTCACGCAGAAAACCCGGGTTCGAATCCCCACATGGGTACAATGTGTGAAGCCCATTTCTGGTGTCCCCCGCCGTGATGTTGCTGGAATATTGCTAAAAGCGGCGTAAAACCAAATCAGTCAGTCAGTCAGTATACTCCCAGTTTATGATCAATAAAGGCGGTATGAGGTATACATATACAAAATATAAATAAAGGTACACAAAATATTGCTGAAAATACTTTCCCAGATCAGATAATATAGTTGATAGGACACTTCTCTGTATATGTGTGTACAATATGTTACATTTTGTAAATGCCAATTTGTAACTGGAACATATGACAAATATAATATGCATGTTATTTGTTCAGAATGCATGACAGATGTTCTATATTTGTTATTGTTAATTAAATGATGTAAATATTGATTGTATACTTTTTTGTAATATCTATATATTTTTAAATAAAGGATGTAAACTAATCCAGTGGTGTACCGCCGTAATTGTGGATTGCAGAGACGGGGATTAGAATGATTGGTAGATTTCCCCAACCAGAAACATATACATGTACCATTATACTACAGTTATTGTCATAGTGCTTTTATTGTCTAAGCACTGTTATTGTCTCAGTACTATACACGTATACATACAAAAGGTCCTCTGGCCACTGACCGTGGCTTTCACACAAGATACACATAACCATAACAGTGTTTGGGGAACATCTAGTTCCACGATAGGGCCGACCTTTGTTATTCATGGAAGAAGTGTGAAGCTTGCCTTGTGATTTTATCTAGAAAACAATTACCCCGGAGACAAAAAAAAAATAATTCTTTAGACCGTTAATAATTATACAGGTAAGTGTCTGCCTCAAAGAAACACGTTGTTGCAAGATGATTTTTGTATTTGTAATTTCGGATTGGGTTTTTAATTTCAAATATATGCGGTTTTCAAGCTGAATCCCAAAAGGTATCCATTTTGTGTACTAAATCCTTGAAAACTTGAATCCTTGAAATGTTTGTCAGAGAACTCCCTATGAGAAATGAACGTTTATTCTCATTACGGACAGTCAGGTTTCACATATTCTGTTTACTGGACCTTTACTGGGTCTTTTACTTGCTCATCACTGAAATTCTGTTGCGAGCCCATGGGAATACCAAATTAGAATAGGTCTCCATTAACCAATGATCCTAATAACCGCAGGTACAGATGTAACTGGATCGGGCTGTCAGGCTCGGTGACGTGGTTGATTGCGACCCTTCATACGTCGACGGCATTGATGGTTGTTCCTAACATCAATCATAGGATTGTCTGGTCTGGACTCCAACATTTACAGGCCTCCGTCATGTAGCGAGAATATTATTGAGTGTGCCCTTAAATATTAAACGAACAAACAATTGCCAAATTTCATGAATAACTTTTAAAATCTATTTCATTTTGTTCGATCCAACTTATTAAACCAATAACTACACAATTCGTGTTGGGTTACAGGAAGCCTCAACTTGGGCGAAACTGCCCGATTATGCGAAATTGCCCGTCTGTTAAATGGTGATGGCGGCAGCGAAGTAGTGGGCGTATCATGCATTACCAGTGTCACAAACGCATGAGAAGGAAATGAAATTTGCTCATCGGAAATAACGCGGGTACATATAGTACAAGTCAAAGCAGGGTATAACATCGGACATAAGTAGTATGACACTGTAATGTGTTAGATAGAAAGGACATCCTTTAATATTGGTCAGTATTAAGGGAAAGTATATGTGAAGTGTTCTGGTTGTCCTTCTGGACATACAACGACATGTACAGGTTTATTTGAGTTGGGTTTTTAATGTCTACAGGTTAAAGAATAAGTCAAAAAGTATCAGGGGCGGTGGGGCGGCCTAGTGGTTAAAGCGTTTGCTCGTCACGCCGAAAACCCGGGTTCGATTCCCTACATGGGTACAATGTGTGAAGCCCATTTCTGGTGTCCCCCGCCGCCGTGATATTGCTGGAATATTGCTAAAACCTGTGTAAAACGAAACTCCCTCACTCAAAAAGTATCAACGCTCCCCCTTAAGAAAGTTCATAACTGCTGAAACGTCTGTAAAATCTCTCATGTTTTGGAAAGTCACTCATCTCTATGCTCTTCATCTTCAATACCTGGAGAAATTAGCAAACCTCCTGCAATTTTGTACTATTCAATATGATAATTGTATTTAACAGAAATGTTCTCAATACGTCGGAGAGATATATTTTAGGCCATGTAATGAATTTTATTAGCTGCCATATCCGCTGACGATCATCTTGCTTCTCGTCCTTAGTCCGACTTTGCCCAGCTAAGAGCCTACAGAACGGAGATACAGTGTTCAACCACACGAACCGATTCTCCTGATTGTGTTGCGACGGTGAAGGGTAGTGGCTAGAGCGAAGACCCAGGTTCGATTAGCTTCATGGGCTCAAAATGTGTCCATTTCTGGAGTCCCCTGCCGTGATTGCTTGAATATTGCTAAATGGGCGTAGTACATATTTACTTTTCAGTTTTCATTGCGTTTCCAACTTCATTTTCCTGCACTACAGTGTTTATATATTCAGGATGAGGTGTTGTGTCATGAAGCTATACACTCAGGATAAAGTATGGTGAGTGCAAGTTCTAGTCTGTCATACAGACCCTGAAACAAGTATTTCCCAATGCAGCCCATGCAAGCCTAGAATATGTGGCATGTCTAGATTACCAGGTCTCAGGACTTGGTTTTTTTTAATATTTATATATGTTAATTTCAGAGAACTATATGTTCTCCAAGACGGCTTCCTTGAGATCTGACCTCTGGAAAGTGCACATACGTAATGAAGACTTCAACATATGGTCAACAGAGACAAAAGGCTTTATGGAGACTCAATTACATTTATGCACAGTATCCGTAGTTCGAGACAGCCGGAGAGCCAACATGTAAAACAGATTTGGTTCCCCCCTAGTAAAAGTTCCGTTGGAACTTTTCATTCCAACATTTGTTCCTGTAATAGTGCATGCGGAACAATTATTTCGTTCCGCACACACAGAATTTATTCCGGGTAAAGAGGAACTTCCACACACATCATAAAGTGTCTAAAAGAGGGTTTTGTTTGTCCGGGTGGTCTTAACAATTGGGTCGTGGGGAACAGAAAAGAAAAAAAAGAAGATTTTCCTACGGTATTTGTTTCATATGGAACAAATCATGTGGCTATTAAGAAGCAATTATCATGTGTGAAAGTTCTTTTATTTTTTTTATGAAAATACATTGTAGATTCCCCAGAATCCGAACTGATGATTCTAAATGAATCTTGTGTTAAAAAGAGTTCAGTTATTATGTAACCAAGTTACCTTTATTAATCAGGTTACAATCATTAGCCAGGTTACAGTCAACATGTAACCAAGTTACAGTCAGTCAGTAGCCAGGTTACAGTCAACATTTTACCAAGTTAGTCAGTAGTCAGGTTACAGTCAATATGTAACCAAGTTACAGTCAGTCAGTAGCCAGGTTACAGTCAACATGTAAGTTAGTCAAGTTACAGTCAACATGTATCCAGTAGCAGTCAGTCAGTAGCAGGTTACATGTAACCAACATGTATCAGTCAGTCAGTAGCCAGGTTACAGTCAACATGTAACCAATTAACAGTCAGTAGCCAGGCTACAGTCAACATGTAACCAAGTTACAGTCAGTCAGTAGCCAGGTTACAGTCATTATGTGACCAATTAACAGTCAGTAGCCAGATTACAGTCAACATGTAACCAAGTTACAGTTAGTCAGTAGCCAGGTTACAGTCAACATGTTACCAAGTTAGTCAGTAGCCAGGTAACAGTCAACATGTAACCAAGTTACAGTCAGTCAGTAGCCAGGTTACAGTCAACATGTAACCAAGTTACAGTCAGTCAGTAGCCAGGTTACAGTCAACATGTAACCAAGTTACAGTCAGTCAGTAGCCAGGTTACAGTCAACATGTAACCAATTAACAGTCAGTAGCCAGGTTACAGTCAACATGTAACCAATTAACAATCAGTCAGTAGCCAGATTACAGTCAACATGTAACCAAGTTACAGTTAGTCGGTAGCCAGGTTACAGTCAATATGTAACCAAGTTACAGTCAGTCAGTAGCCAGGTTAGTGAACATGAAACCAAGTTACAGTTAGTCTGTAGCCAGATTACAGTGAACATGTAACCAAGTTACAGTTAGTCAGTCGACATTTAACCAAGTTGAAGTTAGTCAGTAGCCAGGTTACAGTCAACATGTAACCGAGTTGAAGTTAGTAGACATCTCGGTATTGACAAGTTGGATGAGTCCATTTTGCATTCAATAATCACTGGAATAGGTTAGGCCTACGGTATTTGTTCCTTTTCGATGGAATATTTGCCGTATGTGCGGAATTTTTATTCGTGTCATCCATTCTCAATTTCACGGCATTTATTCCGAACCGGAACATTTACTACTCGGAACTAAATCATGTTTACAAACATTATATACTAATAATAGGAAGAAACCTCAGCTATATTTCCAATTCAAACATATACTATACTTCACATCTGGCACTTAATAACATTTACGATTTACGACATGTGATCTGTACACAAGCCCTTGGGCCGCCATTTCATCATGACGCCCGTATTCGTGATTTCAAAGGAGCTGTAATAATGATATAATGAAATAATAATATTATACAACAGAGTTCGGGTAAACGAGGTTTTCATCTCGAATGTTAGAACATATGAACACAAACCTGCAAACCGTCTTGAAAAAGTCACTCAAACTGAATGTCAACAATTTTGTGAAATCGTCCATCTTTAATTCTCACACTGACGCCCTTGGTTAGATTCATGACTTCAGTCTCAGTGCCCTCATCGTCATCAACATCAGTAAAAGCATCGTCATTGAGGTCATCTCTGCTGGAGACTTTGCATATTATACCCTGACTAGCCGAGAAGGCAGATTTCAAATCGGTCTTCAATGCAATGTCATTTTCGGCGTAAGGGCGACACATTCCTTCAATGGGCTCGGTTGGGTAGTCATACTTGTGACGACGTCGCCCGACTCCCAGCTTTGAGTATTCGTGAACTTGTCCTGTGGGTAGCTGCTGGTCTTCTACCTCTGGAGCCTTGCGAGGGAGGCGACTATTGCAGCCGCAGCCTAGCCTGTGGGAAAATAGTTAATGTGTTATGGGGTTAAATATTAAACGAAAATCAGGATGCTCAAATTATCTACAATTGATATCCTATTCTTTAAGATGAAACTGTTTGAACTGATTAGGCCTTCTGGATGAGACTGGTTACTCGTAGGCGTCTTAATTGACCCCTGGATGAACTTTTGACAGTATTCCGGTTAATGTTAATATAATAATAATGCATATTTATAGGGCGCCTGTTTCCACACGTGTGGATGCTCAAACCGCTAACAGATTATAACCCAGGTTGCCTGTTAGGCGCTAGAAAGTTATAATATAGTCACATGACTTATCCCATCGGGTACCCATGTTCTGCTGCGTGAACAGGGGCAATTTTGAACAAACATTCTTGCATAACGTGAGACCACATGTATCACATATGAAGTCCAAGAAACTCGCAGGAGTCAAGCTGCCAAATACGGTCACCCATCCAATGACTCTCCGCACCCAACGTTGCTTATTTTATGAGCTCTCTGCACAGGACCACACACCACCACATGTGATAACGTTGCATCAGCTGAATGGGAGATGAAAGTCCAAAGTGATTTTGGTGTTAGACGGTTATGATTTATTTCTGAAACCCACAAGCATGAGTACAGTACTGACAAAACTAGGACTATTACCGGGACGAACCGGGATTCGAACCCACAGTGATACGTTTCTGGCGTGCCAATGGGACGCAGCTCCGTGTAGCAACATTGCGGCCCCTAAGACAACTGGTTTAACCTTGCCAATCACTTACCCCTGATTAGCTGTAAGATGGCCTTGTGAGCAAAGGTGTCGCTTGTATCAGACTGAATAAAGTTCCAGTTCTCTGCATGGGTACAATGTGTGAAGAACATGTATAGCTTTCTCTGCCGCAGTATGGCTGCGATAATGCTAAAGGGGTACAAACCATACTCTTTCGCTCTTATAAAAGACAAAGAGAATTTCTTTAGAGTTTGAAAAGGCGTTAGGAGAAATGAGAGTATTCTCAAATGGTGCCTTAAACTGAACATTGATTGTGTTAGTTCGGGTAAAGAGTGTAGTCGAACCTCGTGTCTCCGGACTCCGCCTATGCGTTTTAGCAAATACCATTAGGTAGTGGATGTCTGTTACATAGTCATCTGGTGAACATTATCTTGTTGCCTTAACTCATTCGTAAATGTTATTATCTTGTAAATGAATCTTTCGTCTCTCCAGGGGATAACGGGTTTACTTTTGGTCAAAGCAATCGCTCGACAACCCGAAAGCCCGGGTTCGATCCCCCACATGGGTCTTTGTGTGAAAAAACGGACAAACCCTTTCGATGTTCTTAAGAAATCTCTGGACGATCCAAACTGTTGTCATACCAATCCTATTTCGCGTGTCACTCACCGTGACATAAAGTCACAACCACTCAGGATGTAATCGTGAGTGAGTTTAGTTTTGCGCCGCACAAAGCAATACTCTAGCTTTATGGAGGCTGTCTCTAAATGATCGAGTCTGGACCAGGGGCTCCTTTCACGAAGCGACCTTTACTAAGGTTAACCTTGACTCCCATTCTTTAACATTGCACTAAGGTTACCTTTGTGACTTACGATCACCTTAGTGCTTTGTGAAAGGAGGCCCTGATCAGCAACATGAACATCGATCTACGCAATTTAGAAACGATGACATGTGTTAGCCCTGTCAGCGAGCCTGACCACACGATCCCGTTGGTCACCTCTTACGACAAGCATGAGTTACTGAAGATCAGTTCTAACCCGGATCTTCACGGCTCACGAAGTAATCCCTGACAGACCTCGATTGTATGTACATATAGTACGACTTACCTACAGAGCGCGGAGACAAGTGTGAGGAAAATTACAAACAACACCAGTAAACCAAAGCTGCAGCCGGCGATCACGTATGCATCTGAAAAATAGATAGATGTACATGTGAGGTAATATCACTGATTCCGTCTTTCGGTAACTAGCAAAGATCCGAGTTAGAATTGGCCTTTAGCAGCCGGCGTTTGCCGTAAGAAGCTACTAACGGGATGGGGTGGTCAACCTCACTGACTGAGTTGACGCTTAATGTCATGAGCATCGATGTACTTGGATACCATGACAAGCGTCAAACAAGAGAGCAGATCTGACCACTCGATCCCGTTAGTCGCCTAGCATAGATTACTGGAGGCCAATTCTAACCCGGATGTTCACGGATCAGGGATCAGGCCCCGATTTCTCGAAACAAACTTAAGTTTTTACTCAAATTTCAAACTGAGTTTGACAATTTGAAACAGCTGAATTTTAAACTCAACTGCATTTATAAAATATAAAAGCCTAAACAACTTAAGTAATCCATCCACCAAACTCAAATTGTCTAGTATGTTTGAGTTTAATATCATTTTCAGTTCATTCTGCTAAATGCATTTTCTCTATTTGAGTCAAAACTCGAACTTAAGTCAAAACTCAGACTTAAGTTTGTTTCGAGAAATCGGGGCCAGGTGAGGCCCAGTACGTCAAAACTGTTTGGCACCTCCATATCTTGGGTATCACCAAGGTGGGTAACGTCAAACACATTTGGCTTCTTGCGGCATCTGGTGACACGCCTGCATGCCCTTATACACGTGGTTAATTTAATGTCATTAGTAGATTCATATTCACTGCGTGCTCACGTCGAGAAGAATGTCTGAAACTGGGACAGTGTTGTAAGTCTGGATCTAATTATCAACCTAGGGTTGCCAATCAAACCGAACCTCATCTACACGTAGGGCGATGGGGTAACCCAGTGGTTAAAGCTCCCGCTCGTCACGCTGAAGGACCGGGTTCGATTCCCTACATGGGAACAATGTGTGAAGCCCATTTCTGGTGTCCCCCGCCGTGATATTGCTGGAATATTGCTAAAAGCGGCGTAAAACCATACTCACTCAACCACTCATCCACATATATGTGGGCAATACGAAGCGACATGACAGAAGGAAGTTAGCAGTTTTTCTGTGAATTACCATAGCAACAATCAAGTTGAATCAACATAGGGTAACAACATTCAACTCAGCATAACAACATTGGAACCAAAATAACAACATTCGACAAGCTATACAACCATACAGACAGAATCTATCAACATTCAACACAGCATAGAATAATCCGCAGCAATAAAACAACGTTTTATACAAAGCAACATACAGTGTAATATTCAATGAATTATAACAGAATATAATTCAACACATAACAACATATAACTTGATATAAAATTTCACGCGGCAAACTATTTAGCACGCCATTAAACATTCAATACTGCAATACAAACATTACACGCTTCAAACACTGACTGACTGACTGACTGAGTTTAGTTTTACGCCGCTTTTAGCAATATTCCAGCAATATCACGGCGGGGGACACCAGAAATGGGCTTACACATTGTGCCCATGTGGGGAATCGAACCCGGGTCTTCGGCGTGACGAGCCAACGCTTGAACCACTAGGCTACCCCACCGCCCCCGCTTTAAACAACATTTAATATCGCATAGCAACATTGAACACTGTATTACAACATATCACAGATGCATTCAGCAAATTATAATATCATTCAGCGTATCAAAACAGCTTCCAGTGTGTCAAACAAGAAACATTCATCACAGCTTAGAGAATTTCAGCACGTTTCAACGTTGGGGAACGATTAATGCTTCATATTGTACCCATGTGGGGAATCGAACTCGGGTCTTCGGTGTGACGAGCGAACGCTTTAACCACAGGCTGTCCCTCCAGCCGATAAATGACATACTGCCGTATTTTGTTTGGTTAGTTTCATGTTGAGTACATAGTGGTTTATCAGCCAAGAGACAAACATTTGTTATATATTCCTGATTTACGATATTTCAGACATGCAAACACCCGAGAAAACTAGGCATCTCTTTTGACAATAATATGACTGGCAAATGGAAAGATAGTACCACTAACCTGTGGGTGAACCCGGAGTGCTAGCTTCAGTGGTGTTATTGGACATTTTGCCTGCAGTAAAAAAAAATCGGTGTCGAGTACAAACCGCCTTGGTCCTTTATATCATGGGAGGAAATTCAGTTTGAAACTGTTGTTATAGTACTACAGTTCACATCCTTTTGGAGTTTCATAACGGGGAGCAGGTAATATTTGTTATCCAACGGCACGTGTCGATCCCAAGCGAAAACTAAACCTTAACCGGAAATCAGCCCGTAATAGAATTAGCTGCGAAACAGACAAAGAGACAGGATGTAATTCACAATTATGTTCTGGAAGTAAGTTTACAATGAACACAAATCGCCATAAAGGCATCACAGTGATACTACAAAATGGAGTGCCATTGCAAATTCCAAGGCAGTTTAATTCAAAAACAGTGATTACAGCGATATTCATCTCATTGCTAGTTCCAATGGTCAAGTTTCCAAAGCTGAGTAATTGAGCTTGAGTGAACGAAATTTTATGCCGCCTTTTGCAATATTCCAGCAATATCATGGCGGGGGCTTCACACATTGTACCCATGTGGGGAATCGAACCCAGGTCTTTGGGGTGACGAGCGAACGGTTTAACCACTACCCCACCGCCCCTCAAAGCTGAGTAACCAAGGTAAGAATGGCAACACCCAACTGCTGGTCTTGTGGCTTGAGATGTAAAGTGCGATACGAGACAAGAGTTTACTCCCCTTATATAAATAAGAAAGAAATAGTGAGTGAGTGAGTGAGTAGTTTTACGCCGCTTTTAGCAATATCCCAGCAAATAATTTCACGGCGGGGTTACATCAGAAATGGGCTTCACATTGTACCCAGAAAGAAAAAACACTTCAGAAGATTATCTAACTCCCTAGGTCAGAATATAGTGGAAAAGGCCATAGGGCTGTAGGGCTCAGTCTAAGTATATGAAAGGTCTAAGCACAGCACACCACTGTCCCTAGCTGACAATTCACTTGTACAATATATTATACGTGGAACACTGTTACATAATGAAACAGCTGCTAAATAACTCCATGTGTATTTGTGTGTTAGTACGCGTAGAGTCAGAAAGCATAGTTTGTCAGGTAAAGTCCGTCACGTGCAAAGTGTGGAAGCATAGTTTGGCAAATAAAGTCCATCACGTGCAAAATGTGGAAGCATGGTCTATTGGATACTGCTTATCACGTGTAAAGTGTGTGAGCATGGTCTGTTTGATACTGCTTATCACGTGTAAAGTAGTGACGCGTGGTCTGTTGGATAATGCTTATCACGTGTAAGGTGTGTAAGCATGGTCTGTTGGATACTGCTTATCACGTGTAAAGTAGTGATAAGTGGTCTGTTGGATACTGCTTATCACGTGTAAAGTAGGGATAAGTGATCTGTTGGATACTGCTTATAACGTGTAAAGTAGGGATAAGTGATCTGTTGGATACTGCTTATCACGTGTAAAGTAGAAGTGATCTGGGATACCGCCTGTAACATGGATCTGTTGGATACTGCTTATCACGTGTAAAGTAGTGATAAGTGATCTGTTGGATACCGCTTATCACGTGTAAAGTGTGCAAGCATGGTCTGTGTTGATACTGCCTGTAACACGTGTAAAGTAGGGATAAGTGATCTGTTGGATACTGCTTATCACGTGTAAAGTAGGGAAGAGGGATCTGTTGGATACTGCTTATCACGTGTAAAGTAGGATAAGTGGTCTGTTGGATACTGCTTATCACGTGTAAAGTAGGGAAGCGTGGTCTGTTGGATACTGCTTATCACGTGTAAAGTAGGGAAGCGTGGTCTGTTGGATACTGCCTGTAACGTGTAAAGTAGTGGAAGCATGGTCTGTTGGATACTGCTTATCACGTGTAAAGTAGGGAAGCATGGTCTGTTGGATACTGCATATCACGTGTAAAGTAGTGACGCATGGTCTGTTGGATACTGCATATCACGTGTAAAGTAGGAAGCATGGTCTGTTGGATACTGCATATCACGTGTAAAGTAGTGACGCATGGTCTGTTGGATACTGCTTATCACGTGTAAAGTAGTGACGCATGGTCTGTTGGATACTGCATATCACGTGTAAAGTAGGGAAGCATGGTCTGTTGGATACTGCTTATCACGTGTAAAGTAGTGAAGCGTGGTCTGTTGGATACTGCATATCACGTGTAAAGTAGTGACGAATGGTCTATTTGTGATACTGCATATCACGTGTAAAGTAGCGACGCATGGTCTGTTGGATACTGCTTATCACGTGTAAGGTGTTTAAGCATGGTCTGTTGGATACTGCATATCACGTGTAAAGTAGTGACGCGTGGTCTGTTGGATAATGCTTATCACGTGTAAAGTAGTGACGCATGGTCTGTTGGATACTGCTTATCACGTGTAAAGTGTAAGTGAAGCATGGTCTGTTGGATACTGTTTAGCACATGTAAAGGAGGGAAGCATGGTCTGTTGGATACTGTTTAGCACATGTAAAGGAGGGAAGCATGGTCTGTTGGATACTGTTTAGCACATGTAAAGGAGGGGAAGCATGGTCTGTTGGATACTGTTTAGCACATGTAAAGGAGGGAAGCATGGTCTGTTGGATACTGTTTAGCACATGTAAAGGAGGGAAGCATGGTCTGTTGGATACTGTTTAGCACATGTAAAGGAGGGAAGCATGGTCTGTTGGATACTGTTTAGCACATGTAAAGGAGGGAAGCATGGTCTGTTGGATACTGTTTAGCACATGTAAAGGAGGAAGCATGGTCTATTGGATACTGCTTATCACGTGTAAAGCAGGGAAGCATGGTCTGTTGGATACTGTTTAGCACATGTAAAGGAGGGAAGCATGGTCTGTTGGATACTGTTTAGCACATGTAAAGGAGGGAAGCATGGTCTGCTGGATACTGTTTAGCACATGTAAAGGAGGGAAGCATGGTCTGTTGGATACTGTTTAGCACATGTAAAGGAGGGAAGCATGGTCTGTTGGATACTGTTTAGCACATGTAAAGGAGGGAAGCATGGTCTGTTGGATACTGTTTAGCACATGTAAAGGAGGGAAGCATGGTCTGTTGGATACTGTTTAGCACATGTAAAGGAAGGGAAGCATGGTCTGTTGGATACTGTTTAGCACATGTAAAGGAAGGGAAGCATGGTCTGCTGGATACTGTTTAGCACATGTAAAGGAAGGGAAGCATGGTCTGCTGGATACTGTTTAGCACATGTAAAGGAGGGAAGCATGGTCTGTTGGATACTGTTTAGCACATGTAAAGGAAGTGAAGCATGGTCTGCTGGATACTGTTTAGCACATGTAAAGGGGGGAAGCATGGTCTGTTGCAGTCACACATAACATAGTACACTTGGGGTTTTGTAACATCTGGGAAGCTGATAATAGCAGCACATGCCATGGTGAATACACACATTAAACACAACAGTTAATTAATGTGAATTTACTTCATATGAACTATTTCCAGTGTCAAGTAAATAAACTACTTCCCCTTTCAAGTTTCAAATATATAAAACTACTTCCCTGATTCCAGTCAAAAGGTTGTATAATTTGGTACAGGTCAGTGACGTTCAGTTTGGCATGTTGCGCTATCACATGATGCGGAAGTTTGTTTAATTGCCGGATAACTGTTCGTGCGCGTTAGGCACTAATGTAATAATTAGATCAGTGGAGCAATGGAGGGTAGGATCGGGTGGCCCAGGTAGTGGTGGGATGGAATAGGGTATGGAACGGTACATGGCGTGGGCAGGGAGTTGTGGAATTGGACGGGAGGGTAGGGTAGGATGGAGGTGGGCAAATAAGGATTTACGCCACTCTGTACAAAGATATGAATCGAACATTGCTAATTTTGCCAGAAATGACATACTTAAATAGTTAAAGTAGGATGACTAATTGTTGGGGTTTTTTGGTTAAAAAGTCCATAGTCTGTTACAGCATTGTGAATAACTATATCTTTTACTTTCTATTTTACAGTTTACTTTCATAGTTACCGATGCGAAAAAGTATTATGGTTTACATTGTTCCAGCTACAGAGACATCTGCATTTCAACCATATGCGATTTTCTAGAACTATACATTCATTGTATAAAAGATATGTGGGTTCTCTCCTAGTTAAAGTGTAGCAATGGTTTCTGCTTAAAGATGAGAACTGAGGGAAAGCTCAAACATGCACACCAAATGATAACTCTACAAACTGTAACTTATTGTTTTGCTTAAAACCTGAGAGGCAGTATTGTGTGGATACTTATTATGACCTTCATTTGGATGACCTTCATATGGGATGAACAAACGAGGAACGAGGAAGAAGATATGACAAATATTATTTATGTACACATTACTCATATATGACCAATATAATCTGAATAACTGTAGGCTAATACAACCAAAGAACTTCCTGAGGTTTCTTCTTTCGCCGTATTATACGTATATCTCGACTTTACGAAAGATTGCGCCAAGATTGTTTTGTTTTGTTTTGTTGTTTTTTTGTTTGTTTGTTTATGTTTAACGCCGCACACAGTAATATTCCATTTATATGGCGGCAGTCTGTAAATAATCGAATCTGGACTAGACAATCCAGTGATCAACAACATGAGCATCGATGACACGTGTCAACCAAGTCAGCGAGCCTGACCACCCGATCCCGTTAGTCGCCTCTTACCACATGCATGGGTTACTGAAGATCAATTCTAACCCGGATCTTCACGGGTTACAGCCAACCTGTAGTACCATATAGAAACCCGCACAAACACCCCTCAAATTATAGCAAATCAAAAAGATGTTTTCAGCTTTTGTAGTAAGTGAGTGTGTATAGTTTCACGCCGCTTTTAGCAATATTCCAGCAATATCACGGCGGGGACACCAGACATGGGCTTCACTTATTGTACCCATGTGGGGAATCGACTCATCGGCGAGACAAGCGAACGGTTTAACCACTAGGCTTCCAACCATCACACAGTTTTTGTTAGCATTCTCTATTTACAACTCCACCAACACATTATCTCGGTTGCCGTGTGTGATAATATGAACACGTTTCATTATTATAAATACCAAGGACGTGAAATTATAACTAAACCTTTATTTTTCTTCTTAGCAGACAGTGAGTGAGTGAGTTAGTTTGGTTTTAGGCCGCTTTGAGCAATATTCCAGCAACATCACGGCGGGGGACACCAGAAACGTGCTTCACACATTGTACCCATGTGGGGAATCGAACCCGCGTCTTCAGCGTGAGGAGCCAACGCTTTAACCACTAGGCTACCCCCACCGCCCCTAGCAGACAAGTAATGTTCCCGAAAGACAAGCATTCAAACACAACTCCCATACTGCAGGCACAATCTTCATCAATGATTGCTGGAAAACATGTATATACAACATATAAAATCACTGTCGATGGTGACACCTTGGCACAGGAACTTCCAACATCCGCATTGTTCCACAGCAAGAGTAACTAGAAGTAAATATTTACAGTTTGGGGTTCCTTGATTTCTAAACATACTTTCCTTTCGAGCGTCGAAACTTTTGTGTTGTCTGTTTCGTTTTCTTGGTATTGATTGTCACTACGCATTGTATATTGACCACACCCAGTAGATGGAGAAGCTGTGAGATAGCCGTCCGTTCCAACCTCAGGGCAAGGTTGTGGCAGATAGACGTGATCGTAGTGATCTCCGCTGAACAGTTCCATGTACTCATGGACACTTTCTCTTGTCGCCGGCTGTTCTTCGACAATGTCCTTTGTTTGTCTCTGTCGTCGTGTGCAACATCTACATCGGTTGCTGAAAAACAAAAATCAACCGGATAACTTGTCTTTAAAAAGTACGTCTTTTGAAAGGAATCGCTATGTTCACGTTTCTTTAAACCAACAATTACGTGGTGGTAAAATTGGTCCTCAAAACCTATTCCGGTCGTAAGAGGCGAGTTTGTGGATCGGACGGTCAGACTTTGGTTGATTAATATGTTATCATGCCAATGAAAGTCTAAATATTTACTCCTAATATTAATCACTGGATTGTGCAGTTCAAAAGTTGTGGGACTTTTCAAACGAAAGAACCAACGTAGAAGTTCATTTACCAGTTTTAACCAAGACAAAAACTAATGGTATAGGTTTCCTCATCACACCATTACTTCCCTCAGCTGATGCAGGATCCGGATTTGAATCCCACGTGTGCCTTGATAATGATCTTTGGGCTCAGTGCCCCTGTGTTCTGGGTGACAATACACTAACAGTATGTTGCACCACTTTAGGCTTTAACAAAGGACAATGATGTAAATGAAGCCCTGTTCAGAAAGACGTTATACCTAAACTCACTCACTCACTCATTCTTACCGGCAGAGGACAATAAGAACCAAAAGCAGAACCAGCAACATCACGGCGACGCCCGTGCTGCATCCACCAACTACGGCGGTGACATCCATTGCTGCAACAGAAAGATGTTGCGGAATGTCATCCACAGAAGAGCATTGAAACACAGTGACGTTATGTAGAATAGTCTTGAGACACAGAGACTGTCGATAGAATAACCCTTGAGACACAGACTTTATCCAGGACAGACTTCTTGAGACAGAATGACTTTACAACAATGCCATGGCAATGGGTTAAAAAGTATATAAAGGTGCACCTACCTGGCATTGTTGCATTGTGTAGTACTGTCAGAAGACATCGTATTGAATTGAGACAGGATTTGTTTCACTCCCTCATCCCCAAATAAAACCTATGCATCATACTAACACGAAAACGTTAAGTTACGGAAGCGTTGAAAGCGAGTGTATCGTATTAACATGAATATTCGCTTCCAAGCCCGCCCCAACTACGAGTTTCATGTCCTAAATCCTTCCGTGTGTTAAACAATAGAACGAGATTCAATAAATATTCGTAAATCATTTAGATATAGTCGGTGAGTGCCCGTACTACACGTTCGGACATCGTAATTGAAATTACTTTCAAATAAATGACCAGTCCCTAAGAAAAGATTTATTTGAAATGTGAGTGCAGTTCCTTTTGTGTCAAATGGGTGACTGCAGGGTGTCTGGGATTTTAAAAAACAATTATTATGCTTCAGACGGGGAAAAATAGAAATTATCTGTTACAAAAATTGCACTGGAATTATTTTGTTGAAAACAATTAGGATCCTAGTTCTCATTAATAACGTATCAAGACTCCACACAGGGTAACAGCCTGGTCGAGCAGAGATAATATAAGCGACACATATAAGTTATTCCCTGAAAACTGGGGAATTATAAAAGTTATTATACTCGTCAGGACAATGTATATTTTCCTAGTTTTTGCTTATGTAAATAGTTATGGTGCTGGGTCATAACCTTAGAATGACATCTTGTCAGCCAATGAGAATACAGAAAAACTTAGAGCACACACTACTGATAAATAGCGAGTCTGATGCCGAAATTGGACAAAATGGAAAACAATGAATGTAACAAGTATCTTAATGATTTGCCGTTGCATTCGGTAATTTTTTCGGGTAGACTGTAGCATTTAGGGCTCAAAACCGGAACGAACGTTATAGTGAAACATTGTCAAGCTCATGTGAACTCAAGGTCAAAAGGTCAAAATATGTCTATTTGTATGTAAGGCCACCGGCCCATATACAGCGGTTACAAGGAAGGTTCTCATTTAGGAGGATAACAATTGTTTTCTTAAAGAACCACTAAACTTTGTTTTTTGTTACTCTTTTAACCATTACATATGAAAGATTTGTGGTTAGTCTTATGCGGAACACCAAATTTATTCTTTAAAAACTTGTGGTTAATTAATACCGAGCGATTAAAAGTGGCCAAAAAGTCGCCTGCTTCCCTCTCGCCCGCCAACGAAACCACAGACAGGTTACGTAACTCTGTCGCCAGAGCACTGCAGTGACGTCATATGAGGAACGATTTTCAGTTAGTTGTATAGAAAATGTGTAGCACGCTCATCATTTTTATGATTTCTCGACATCAACGACGACATGCCGAATCGTTGCTTTGTCGTCAATTGCTCCTAGGGGTCGGGCGATGGTGTCCCCATGCACAGATTTCCACAGGATCCCGCAGTTCGTGCTAAATGGGTTATGTTTGTGAGTGCGAAGCGAGCGTTGTGGAAGCCTGAAACGATATCTTACTTGTGTTCAGATCGCTTCACGGAAGTTAAAGAATCAAAACTACTTACTAGTTGTAGTAAAATATGCATATGATTGATGACCATAAAGATTTTCTATGACACAACTTGTAACATAACGATTTCTTCCTCGGAAGTGAGGTTGTGGTCGAAGTAACAATAATATTGTAAGTAGTATTATATTGACACCCACCTCGCTGCCACGAGAGAAATTGTTATGATATACGCTATGTCATGCAAAATCCTATTGGCCATCAATAAAATACATATTTTACTACCAGTAGAAAGTAGTTTTGATTTTAACTCAGTGAAAACAAACCTAAATACCATTTATCCTCAGACTGGCGGATGTTCCCGACAGGGCGCCGCCATTTTAAAAATAAAAAATCTGTTAGAATTAATGAGATTATAGTTTGTTTTCATCAAGTTAGAAAATCAAGACTACTTTCTACTCGTTGTTAAATATGTATTGGAATCATAACCAAACGGATTTTGCATGACACAACTTATAACATAACGATTTCTTCCACGGAAGCGAGGTGGGGGTCGAAGTCACAATACTGCGCGATAAATGTCTTGCTACATTCCCATGGTTAATGTCCACTCACCAGTATGTAGATACTAGTCAATGTGCGTCTTTATATTGGGTCTTATAATCCTAATTAGTTTATTATCACACTTGTATGCATTTTGAAACTAAATAAAAAGCTGACGATCTGCTGATACTTATAGTGAATTTATAACAGAACTGTAATATCTAGACATTTTATAGTTTGCCAATGTGAATCATAATTCGCACACACACCCTAGTGCATGTTGTCTGTCTCATTACACTTCACGGCGAAAACAATGATTCTGTTGAATGCTACGACAAATGAATAAAAACAAAATGCAAATATTAAAATTAAAACAGATTAAAGTTATAGGAACAATATCAGGCCATTACCTTGTTCGAGGAATGTATCCATCAATATCCACAAAACTGTTCCAAATGATGTGTCTTTTAACAGTTTAATATACGAAAAAGTGATAAATCTTTTCAGGTATTGGTGTATAGTCTCATTGGTCACCCAAGATAGCAACCTGGCAACTAATTACATAATGTCCGCCTTTCTTTAAAAACAGTAATTTAGTTAGCCAATAATGGGCAATCAATCAATGTATTGCCGGTTAATCCTTTGAAAGAAGGACGTTGTTTTTACGCAGACACCCACACGACAGAGTGTATTCAGTATAGATTAGTAAATCTACATACATAAACACTACCTTTTGACAATTCCGCTGTGTAAGATAAAAGTAATTAATCAATCAGCGTGTTATCGGTTAATCCTTTGATCGATGTTTATAATGTTGAATATTTACTCCAGACACAAGAAATGCCAACTGGGAACCTTTGTCGGGTAATCTAAGTGTGTTACCACTAATTATACCTGTTATAAATTCATTAACTGACCATCAAGTGAATGATGACAAATAACATGTGTAGGTTTATACCACCTAACACGGGTTACAACGAGGGAGTATTAATTGCTGTATTGCATGTGAAAACTTATGGGCCGACACTGTTTTGAGAATACAAACAGATTTTACATGACATGATTAAATATCGAGGTAAAAACAACACAGAAATGGGATCAATTTGGATCAGTCATTATACAAATAGGGCCTAACGACACCAATCGATTTTGACAGAATCGTCTATGAAAACAAGTTGTAACTCGGAAACTAGGCAAAGCAGGAGACAAAATTAAATGACAGTAGATTGTGAGAACATATAGCTTTCATTTTCCACAACAATTGTCACGATTTCAGGTTTATACAAGCCTGTAAACACGATAATTTACCGCCTAAAATGTAGATGAATTCTGCATCGGCTCTCAAAGCTATTCCTCATATGACGTCACAGAGGCGCGCCGCTCTGATTGGTTGAAATTTCGTTCGCGGGTGAGAATTGTGCACTGTTGTCAAAAAGGTCGATTTAAGTCAATTAAAGGTCGAAATGAGTAGTTTTAATGACGGGGTTTCATTTATAACGATGCCAGTTAGTGATTTATGTATTTGTACCCCCTAGGGTTTATGTGACCTTTAACATAATAGCATGATGGATATACAGTGATAATATTTTTAAAATGGAGACATCGCATGAGGAAACAATTTTGTAAAATGCTGCATTATTACTTCTGATTGTAATACAGTTACGGAGATAATCAGAACGGATTTTATCATAGGCTGGAAATCTCTTACTGATTTTGATTTTGATCTCATGGGTACCAGTCGTACTGCCCCAACTACGAAGTGCCCCAGCAAATTTGGTCATTGATCCTAATTTGGTAAAATTTATTTAAAATGATTAAGTATATACCATGAAATGCATAGTTTTTGTCAACTTTGATATTACGTTCTTCGTATAAATGTTATTTGGAAGTAATATTTCTGATAAATGTTCCATTAGTAGTAAACACTTTTATATGAAGAACATAATATAAGGGGAGATAAAAACTATGCATTTAGAGCATATATTTAATCATTTTGAATAAACTGGGGCAATTTGACTACCTCTCTGGGCCAATTCGACCCAAAATCTGAAGCAATTTGACCAAATTTGCTGGGGCAATTCGACTGGCACCATGCCATTTCATCAAAATAGGACTTGATTTAATCTATGTCAAAAATACTACTGACAGTAAGTTGTAACATGGAATGATGTATATAGTACAAATGACGCTCGTGGGTACTGATTCCTTCTTCAGCCTAGCATTTGGATATTCATACCCCATATATGCATGTCTCTTTCATATGCGCTCGACTCAAAATGATCGGAACATTTCTCCTACCTAAATCCGTCTTTTTACTTGGAAAACGGAAGAAATGGTGTCTCTTTCCATTGTTCGATGATGCTGTGCATCCCCAGGCAACCGTATACCATCGTACCATTTACAAAAAACGACAGAAACAACACGATCTGTATTACTGTAGCACTTGGTCTTTGGCAATATGGCGGACGCTAGTCACATATGACGTGACGAGCGGAAAGGTCACGTGAGTTCCAGCGGAATATGCATAATGGCCGGAGCTCAGATATCAGGAACTGTTTAAAACATAAATAACCATTTTTGCATTTTAAATTTGGGTACAAGTTTCTGATGACTTTATCTTTCACCCAGCAAATTATTGTAATTGTCTAGTACTCTCCTTTAACGCCACACAATATTTCAGCTATATGGCGGCGGTATGTAAATAATTGAGTCTGGACCAGACAATCCAATGACAAAACACATGAGCATCAATTTATGCAATTGGGATACGATGACAAGTAAGCGAGTCTGACCACCCGATCCCGTTAGTTGCCTCTTACAAGTATGGTGACAAATTCTAACCCTGATCTTCTAAATTACAGGAATGGGACAGCCTCTAACTAGTACCAATATTACGTACTGCTGTCGTGAAGTAAAATGGGTTTAATGAGCGCTTAGAGAGCGAAACCCGTGAGCGTGCATGTTTATTCTTGTACCACTTAGGAATCAAGCCAGATTATAGTGCTACCCCTCTGACCATGCACACCCCACTCATACAATGCACCGACGGCGTTCCGACCAGGACGGCCAGTCAGGGCAACAACAAGTAGCCCGGTGTCAGGGATTTGCGACGATGTAAGACAAAAACGTATTTTTTATCTTTAATATCATTTAAAGTTTTATTTCACTAACCTTGAGGGATAAAGGACATATTCATCTATTTCACGCAAAAAGATCAAGAGTTTCCTGCAAAAAAAGCGTTGATGATATCGTATCGGCGAAACCTTTCCACGATGAGCCATACCTTTTGCTCCGCACTGCGAGGGAGTATTGTGATCACGTGGCTTCCTATTATATATTGCCTGTCACCAGCAGACGACTGATCTTACTGAATTTTCGCTTGCTATTTTTGGTTACAAAAGGCAACTGACTGGGCATCCGCCCTGCCGATAAAACTGCTTGTGCACTTCGATATAGCGCGAGCTGAGCATTCGTCGAAATCACTAGAACGTCGAATTCAGCTCGTTTTGGGATCCACAATCCTTGGCATGATAGTGGGGGTTAGAAACCCCGACCTTTCACTCTCTGGACAGACGCTCCGTCCACTAGACCATGGAATACAGGTCTCAAATGCTGAAAAGGACTAGATATGTAGACAGTGTATGTATTGCATAAAATGTCTTTCATTTAATATGACTTAAAAGCATTAATTGCAGTGACAAGTTGGATAACAAAGGTCGAAGAAATCTGAAATTATCATATTATAGTAGGACAATCATACTCATATAGGGTGCCATTGCAAGGTCAATAGCAGACACTGGGTACCACAAGAACGGACGTCATATGTGTCACACTTCCCATACTGAGATAACATATTCTGTCATTAGACACGTGCTTCCTAATCACTAACACATACACAACGTCACGACAAGAATTCAAATTACACACTTTAGATATCTGACAACATAGCGTATGACCAAACATGCTAGCGTGTTCAAATCAGCTTTCCCAAGTCATTGCTCATTTACAAATGATTTTACCTTTTCAACTCGCTGGGGAGCTTTTAACAGTTGAGAACATACATTGTGTCCAGCTCTTCGCAAATGGCCTCATTATGCAATGATTAATATATACTACTCAATATGTGCTAAGGAGCACGCCTCTGACTACAGATTTAACTTGGTGCTTAGCAAGTGTTCGATTGTAACATTGAAAGCCTAATATCAATAACAAAGTACGCGTTTATCTGTGTCATCACAAGGGTTCACTTCTACACTTCTATTACTTTTTTTCACCTAAGCTGCGAAGAATTGTGACTCGTGGCCGAGTCATGATCCGCTAACAACTGGTTCGAATTCCAAATCTGCCTTATTTCCATGCAACTTGTTAATAGATGTCATCAGAGTGATAACTTATAAAAACAAATGTCTCTACCGGCCATCCATCACGTCAGTTGACACAACCTCGTTATGAGTGAGTGAGTGAGTTTGGTTTTACGCCGCTTTTACAAATATTCCAGCAATATCACGGCGGGGAACACCAGAAATTGGCTTCACACATTGTACCGATGTGGGGAATCGAACCCGGGTCTTCGGCGTGACGAGCGGGAGCTTTAACCACTGGGCTACCCCATCGCCCCACCTCGTTACGACGTTGCTGTCTTGAGGGTAGCCAAGAAGGTAAAGCTTTCGCTCGTCACGCCGAAGGGTCGGGTTCGATTCCCCACGCAGGTACAATATGTAACGGTTTCTGGTGTCCCCGTCTTAATGTTGCTGGAACATTACTAAAAGCGGATTAAAACCATACTCATTCATTGTTACAGTGTTCATAATGAATTGCAATAAAGTTAACTATTTTGTGAATTGTAATAAAAACCTGCAGCAACTTGCAATAAGTGTATTTGTGTGAGTTGTAATAATCCATACATAAATTCCTTTGCAATTGTTCAAGGAAACAAACGTGAGTATGTGTGACTAAGTTACTTGGAAATCAAAACCCGGACACTGAAAACATTTTAGTCATTGCTTAAAGAATCATTACCATAAATACATATTCATATTCTTAAAGGAAGCTATGAACATTCACCTCGTGTACGATGACACAGTTTCGTGTTTTTGTGCGACGAGAAATAACTCAAGAAATACTTTCCTATACATGTACTTGAATAGACTTTGTTTTAGGCCGTTCATCCGTGCTGTCTGAACTATGACTTGGCACTTTGTAGTTCCATCCTTCATTGTCCATAGGGGGCGGTGGGGTAGACATGCTGAAGACCCGGGTTCGATTCTCTACATGGGTACAATGTGTGAAGCCCATTTCTGGTGTCCCCCGCCGTGATATTGCTGGAATATTGCTAAAAGCGGCGTAAAGCCATACTCACTCACTCACTCACTTATTGTCCATAGATTTATTATCATGTTTGCTCTGCATCATCCGTGTGATGTGTTCCAGATGCGCAGTGTACGTCTTCATAACTGGTGTTTTCTAATGGCTGGTCCATGTTTGGGTGGAAATGACTTGGATTTGTTTGTTTCTGATAGCACGATGGTGGTCGAAACTGGCCATATAACACTAAAATTGGAAATTCTTTTAATCTGAACAAAAGAAATTGTTTTAGGTTAATTTTACATTTTGCCGTAGTTGATTACACTTTAAGCCAATCCTTATAGCAGTTTATAGCACCTATATGAATAGACTCAATGACTGCTTTTATCTTGAAAGTCCTCGAAATGGGCATTAAACGGTCGTCTTTTTCACTCATTGGTTGTAATCAATAACGTGACATAAAATGAGTAACATTGGCATATCGAAATCTTCATCTGTTAAATTAATAAATGACAGTAACTATATGTATTTTCCAGGATAAGTGTTCACTATTTGTTGTAAGAGGCCGACAGTCACGGGAATTATCTGTAGACACGAAGACGATACATCATCAACGAGAACGTCTCAGGTTGACGTCAGCCATTCCTTTCTGATGTTGAGAAATTGTCCCTTGCACGTATGGCATTTGCTGATAATAAACAGCGACTCAGGAACACCTCCAAAAAGAGGAGCATGGTAAAAGTTGAAAGTCCATACTCCTTATGTTGCCCATTTTGACTTATTCGCATACTCAGGTCGGTTCCAGTTGGGAAAAGCATGTCTTTGTACATTCCCCTTTGATTTGTGATTTGTACTGTGACTATGTGTCCCAGTCCACCCAGCTGTGAATGGGTACCTCGTTAGGATGAGAAAGCCACAATAACTCGGTGCGCCTAGTGGCTGCAAGAGTTGTATACTCCCCAGGGAGTTGAGATTGATAATGCGATGTGCCGCTGAGATTGACATCCAATGATCGAGGGAAAAAATACCAGCGCCTTGAACATGCACTAATTGTATGGATATGTGCGCTATATAAATATCCTATAATAACTTATCACACTGAAGAATGCACCGATTAACAGACAGTGATGACTGACTGACTGAGTTTGGTTTTACGCCGCTTTTAGCAATATTCCAGCAACATCACGGCGGGGGACACCAGAAATGGGCTTCACACATCGTACCAATGTGGGGATTCGAACCCGGGTCTATGGCGTGACGAACCAACGCTTTAACCACTAGGCTACCCCACTGCCCCAAACAGTGACGAACACCTGTCCTTATTTAATACTTTCTCAATGTGGTCATTGATTACACAGCATGGAAAAGATTGAGATTTATTTATAGTTAGCTATATCAAGTTAGTATTTAATCATTGACAATGTATTCAATGTCCGATTTCGAAATAGCCTAGTTGCACTTTTTCAATTTCTTTTCATAAGAGATAACATATAATAATAATAATAATAATAATAATAATAATAATAATTGAATTTTACCCAAATATTGGGATTCTCTTTGGTTTTCAACCTACATTCACTCACCAACTAATAAGCAATAAAATTGATCTCATTAATTTCACTGGCTACATCTCTGAGTTCACTGCAAATAATTCTATCTTAGTCTCCATTCGTCAGCAATTTTCTCAAGCCCGTATACCGTAAGTACCTATATTCTCTGGCATGTTGGTCTTTTGAATCCATGCCTTAAAATCTTCCCTAATATTTTTTTCTCAAAAATGTGGGACATTGTTCGTTATTGAAGTGTTTACAGTTGATAGGTTTTAATACATTTTCATTGTAAATTATTTACTAGTCACGATATGGTGCAAACCTGCCGTTGTGGCCATACTTTTAAAGTACTCACTCACTATCTAAAGGTCTGGTTCCACTTTGATAAGATAGGTCAGTGTCGGGACAAACACACGTCACACACCTGTACATTGTGCCGCCATGAAGTGTCTCGTTCTCCTCGGGCTCGTGCTTATAATAGCAGGTACGTTTAGTCTTTTCACTTGTTCTCCACCTAAAACGGCACATCATCAGCTGGCAGCAACATACAGGAACCCTAAACTACAACATTGAGGCAGCCCTCCAACAGGTCAAACACCCCAGATAGAAACTGACCAACATATGGAACCACAAAACATACACTATTGAGCCAACTCAATATTTACCGGGTTAGGGTTAGGTTTAGGGTTGGGTTAGGTTTGGGTTCCATAATCGATATGGTGTAATTTATTTTATTTCAGAGACCATGACGCACCTTCCTTGGCACAAATTATACCCCTTGGTACTAGGGCTACGGGAGAAATGATATATAGAGAGTTTCAACCGATTGTGTTTTCGTGTCATAACTTTGCAACAGGAATACAATTTGCATTATAACTTTGCCAGGGGTTTGCCGAGTGGAAAACATGTTTGTTTCTTTTGAATAGCTGACGTATATTAAAATACGGAAACACTCATGGACAATGCAAACATTATTATAGTCCGTTTGGCTCAAAAGCGGACCGATGAATTGCAATCTAACTCGAAAACTAATAAACATAAAATATTCAATGAAACGCTGATCATAATCAAAACATCAGACCAACTCTGTAATTTGTTTGCAGAATTTATGTTCTAAAATTAAAAAAGTTGTTTAACAAACTATCATTAAAATTTTGACACGGTTCACTATTTGTTAACGAGGTAGGAGTGCAGAGAAAGGGACAGCCAGGTGTTAGAGAAGCAAGTGCCGACAACGTTATTGATTCATTAACCTGTGCTGTGCCGTCTCCATCCTTTCTCGCGCTCCTGGCTGTCCCTTTCTCTGCACTCCTCCCTCGTAACAAATAGTGAACTGTGTCGATATTTTAATGTATGTTTAGGACATAAATTCTGCAAAAACCTCACAGAGTTGGTCTGAGGTTTTGATTATGATCAGTGTTTCATTGAGTATTTTATGTTTATTAGTTTTCGAGTTAGATTGCAATTCATCGGTCCGCTTTTGAGCCAAACGGACTAGAGATAAAAGCTAAAACGTCACCAAAGCAACTTGAGAAGAGCCGTGGGAAAATAACGTCTGAGTGAATCGCCCCTTGTGTTATAATTAGAATGCCCGATCGTGACCTGAAGCTTATCGGACTGATTATTTTATATTCGTAATATATGTCATTATGCTACTCGGATGAAGTGGAGCCGCCTCCGTGGTGTAGTGGTTAGAGCGTCCGCCCGGAGAGCGGAAGGTCGCGGGTTCGATCCCCGACCGCGTCATACCAAAAGACGTTAAAATATGGTACTTGTTGGTCCCTGCCTGGCGCTCGCCATTAATGGGTACAACAAGGACTGATCGGCTCGGAGTCAGTATAATGTGTCTGAATGGGGTGTTCATGCTTCACTGCGGCATGGTAGCACTATAAAACCAGCTTCAGTCTGGGCTAGTACAAGCAGGCGCACATACACATACACACGCATGCACGTCGTCATATGAGCGAAATATTCTCCAGCGCGACGATAAACCCAATTTCACCTCACCATCACCTCGGATGAAGTGAAAAGGACACCGATTCATTGATAGTTTACAGTTTATGTATCGAGTTGTATGTGCTAATGCACTATGGGTAATCTTTGACTCACGTCATCGTAACGTAGAACGATGCCCATGATGTTGATCACTGGATTGTCAGGTCCAGACTCGATTATTTACAGGCCGACGCCATATAGTTGGAATATTGCTGAATGCAGAGTTAACCAAATATGGGTATAGTCAGGAAACAGATCGTATGTTTCCATGGTAAATTTGTGATGACCGACTCCAAGAAACAGATGGACTCAGTCATCTTAGGCGCCTTCTGTGGAGAGTTGCGTCTCTTGGCCACGCCAGAAGCCTATGACTGTGTGTTCGATTCAGTTTCCGTTTATAGATTTGACAGAACCAGATATCTTCCCCATCCTCGTGGTGACCGCCTTCATCATAAAGGGCTTTCCTCCAGCATTCCCCGATTTGACACCAATACTGTTAAAAGTGGTGTTATGTGACCAAAGAATTGAACATCGGATATGCATTTATATGACATAGCAAAAGGTCTCCATTCGCTCTGAACAACGGTGTATTAAATTTTACTCCTTGCAAGTGTCTTATATGTTCAAAATTATGTGAAGGGTTCGTATGCAAATATTAGTTAACCAGAGGCCATTTTCTTACAGAGTTCACTGCTCTTGCCTGTGACTGTTCAGGATGCCCAACAGGGGGCGTGTGTGTAGGCCCCAGCGGAATGTCGCAGAAGTTCTGTGTCTGCGTGGACGATAAGATCCTTGGAGTAAGATCTATCGCAAAGCACCTTTCAAAGTATCTAGCTGGCAAAAAGGTTTGCGAAACGTTGCTTTTCTCCTAACTGAAAACAAATGAACAGATTATGAAGTGTACTTTTCTCTGCTGACAGAATCATCTACATAACACTTTGAAATCAACGGCTGGGGCTAGACCAGAGACACAGACAAATCAAAATTTGATACTTCCCCATTGTTTGTACACACTGAATTAGGAGTGAGTGAGTGACTTTAGCTTTACGCTGCTTTTTAGCAATATTTAAGCAATATCACGACGGGGGACGCAAGAATGGGCTTGGCGCATTGTACCATGTAAAGGGATTCGAACCTGGGTCTTCAGCGTGACGAGCGGACGCTTTCGCCACTTGGCTACCCTGCCGCCTCTCTAAATTATGAAAAATCTGGTTATAGCCAAGAATACATAAAGAGAGGATTACAACAGTGCCCGAAGTTCTTGGAAGGTGAATTAGCCTAGTAGTTCAGCACGCGCCGATGACCCAGGTTTGATCCCATATATGACTTCAATATTTGGAGCACATTTCTGCAGTCACCCGCCATGAAATTGCTAGAATATTTGCTAAATGCAACGTAAAAACATACTCACTCACTATATGTTCTCACACAATTGTCATTACCGGGAAGTGTATATTATAACATGGGGAACGAAAACAATCGCTTCATTGATATTGTCAAGCCAAGATACAATGGAAAACCTACGTACATCCTGCCCATACCTCTGCATGTCTGTTTATGTGGTAGGACATCCAGGTGGTTGAATCGTTCAGTAGTCAAACCAAGGACCCTGATCCCTACATGTGAACAATCATTTCTGGTCGCCCCAGCCTTGATGTTACTGGAAGTTTGCTAAAAGCGGCGTAAAACAATATTATTTACTCTGCTTGATTTGAACATTTCTTATCTCAATATTCCAACATTTATCTCCGTTTCCAGTAATAAGGTGAGCTACATTTAACTAAGGTAAATCTATTCGGAACTCATATCAAAATCTAAAAGCATGATGAGCTTCAAATTACTGGTTTTATTGTTTACAACAAAACAATGTTTTCCTGATTTGATATGAAGACGTAACTACGACAGTTTCTTGTTTGCCCAGGGCCACGGGTCCAAGCCCCATCTCCGGCAGCCACTCCGAGTCAACAGGAAGAAGGTCAAGCCCACAAATCTCCACAGGAAAAGGCCAAGGTCGCCAGGCTCCACAGGAAGAAGGGAGCCAAGAGAGTTTAGACCACGTGACATGGACGATCTCTAGTAAACTTCAGCATCGATGAAAAGTGTTTCTGTTATTTGTTACCAATCATAAAAGAACCAAAGTATTTTGCTTGTGCGTGCGGGGTGGTGGGTTAGCCTAGTGATTAAAGTATTCGCCCGTCACACCGAAGACCCGTGTTCGATTCCCGACATGGGTTCTGTGTGTGAAACCCATTTCCGGTGTCCTAAGCTAAATCCCAATCATAAAAGACGCAAAGCGCTTTACTTAGACCAAAATGGCAACTTCAGTCTAGCATGGATACAATGATGTTTACCACGCGCATGTGTATATTGTTCCAACAAGCCAAAAATATAATCACGTCAAGTTTGGGATTTACTTAAGTTGGTTGGTTAGTTTGTTGTTCGACGCTAGCTATATGGCTACGGTCTGTAAATAATCGAGTCTGGACCAGTGGTGTGTTGCTGCTGAGTGAGTGAGTGAGTGGGTGAATAATTGAGTATCGACCAGACAATCCAGTGATCAGCATCACGAGCATCGATCTACGCAATTGGGAACCGATGACATGTGTCAACCAAGTCATCGAGTCTGACCACCCGATCCGTCAATCTCATGTTACGACAAGCATGGGTTGCTGAAGACCAATTCTAATCCGGATCTTACGGGTAGGATTTACTTACGAACTTAGTGTAATTGTCTTTAGCGTATATGGAAGTATAAACGCAAAATCCGTGTGCACACGTTGCATGAATCTCACCGCTGTACATCGGTTTGTTTGTTTCATGCAAAGTGTTATACCCCCACAAGGTCAAGACGCATTTCATAAATTCTGATATACATATATAAATCAATCTGCAACAATAACCTCGACATGTTTGTTTAAAGCGATGTGGAACGGTGAGATCATGCAAAGTGTTATACCTCCACCAGGTCAAAACGTATTTCATACATTCTGATATATACTAGGCACATACAGAAACTGTGCATACAAAAAAATTTAAATCTAAATTTATCAAACCTGTGTAGACACATAAGGATTTAAACTCAGAGATTAGTGACATGTATCCAACATGCATGCACGTGCCATGTTCTGTGACGTCAGTGGGTTCGTCCTTGAGACGTGCAATACGTTGTTGCACGTGCATTCCGGGAAAGAGAAACAGAGCAAATGAATGCCACACAATACTGTCACTTTGGAAAGGTCAACCCCTGCCCTTGCGCTCGTTCAAAAAATTAAACGGCTATTTAAACGCATAGCATGCCAAGGCCCACGTCTGCACATCGTCATGAGGCCATTGGCATGGTCCGTGGGGGAATGTCTCAACGACAAGTGGCTGCACATTTCCACTGCCACCGGAACACCATTTCTGCACTGGTGAGACGCTACCAGAACACAAATGACGTCATCGATCGGCCACGTTCTGGACGTCCACGTGTAACAACGCCAAGACAGGACAGATGGATAAGGGTGACCCATCTGCGCCACAGGTTTCAGACTGCAGTGATGACTGCCCGAACCATCCCAGGACTTCGCCGTATCCACCCCAACACAGTTCGACAACGTTTACGTCATCACGGGATCAGACCACGACGGCCCGCCATACGGCCTATCCTGACACAACGTCATCGACAAGCTCGCCGAATGTGGTGCCGAAATCATGTCCCCAGACCCTTGTTTTGGTGGAGAAATGTTGTTTTTACAGATGAGTCCAGGTTTAACATTTCCGATAGTGATGGACGTCAACGTGCCTATAGACGCGTGGGAGAACGTTATGCACAGGCCTGTGTCTTGGAGAGGAATCGCTTGGGTGGTGGTTCCGTGATGATTTGGGGTGGAATAACAGCACGCCAAAGAACTCCTTTGGTGATTGTTCAGGGCAACTTAACTGGTGTGGGCTGCAGGGATCAGATTCTTCAACCTGTGGCAATTCCTTTTCTGCAACGTCATGGCCCTGGGTTAACATTCCAACAGGACAATGCCCGCCCTCATACGGCAAGGGTTTCTATGGATTTCGTGCAACACCTAAACGTTGACTTATGTTTGGGACGAGATGGATCGACGTCTACGCCGTCTTCCTCATCCGCCAGATAACGTCCTTGACCTTGCAACAGAACTTGGCGTGACATCCCACAAGCCTTCCTTGCACGTTTGATAGGCTCTATGCGTCGTCGATGCACTGCTGTTCTCAATGCCGATGGTGGACATACCCGTTATTGAGCTTGTGACATGGTCGTTTGACCCTTGTCCCGCTTGTGGACTCGTGACGTCATTGTGATTGACTTTTCAGTTGAAATTCTCCCGACTTGTTATGGTCTCATGATCCCTCCATTAAGGTTTATATGTACCTTTGACATTGTTATCGTACTTATCAACTCGGATAATATTTTGACAATGCACAGTTTCTTTATGTGGCTGGTATACATATCAATCTTTAACAATACCTTCGACATTTGTTTCAAGAGGCCGACATTCATGTGAAGTGTCTGGAGACACGAGAATGTTTTTTGTTGGTGTGAGCCATGTCTTGAAGATTTTCAGCCTGTCATGTCCTTTCCTCGTCCACCGTTTTCAAAGGTGTCTTCAGTCCGAGGGTCATTATACCTACGTCATAGATATGTTGTTTAATATCGTTTTGGTTCCTCTATAAGGTCGTCATTGGAACTGATTGCCCCTGAGCCAAAATAGCAAATATGTCATTTGCTGATATTGAACAGCGACTCAGGAACACCTACAAAAAGATGAGCATGGTAAAGATTGAAATTCCACACTAATCTTCTTGTTGCCAATCATGTGTAGCAGCGTCAATACCTGCGCTTACCTGTTTTGAAGCAATTGCGGCTGCATGTCTGTTCCAGCCGGGACAAGCATTCCTTTGTACATTCCTCCTTGTTTTATCAAACGGAAGAATGCACAGTGTAACAAACAGTAAGGAACACCTGTCTAAACCAAATACTTTCTCAAGTTGGCCATAGATAACGCAATTCAGTTCTGACCAGTTTTAAGCAGTTGGGTTCACGCTGTTTTACTACAATGCATCGATGTTTATCACAATTTATGCCGTTATCTATTTTACACGAATATAGGGGACTTGATCTTGTTGATTTCACCGTTTACATCACTGGCTTCACTGCAAATAATTCTAATTATATATTTCTGTCAGCAGTTGTTTCCATCCCCGATCCCGAAAGTCCCTATAGTCTCTTGTATGTTGGTCTTTTTTGTCCCGCCTATACCGTCAACACGTCACAATTTCATACTGAAAAACCAAACATCCAGAAACTCTCCGCACTGTGGCTAATTTCTTAAAAAGGATTTGACAAAATCCAACACGCAGTTACAATGAATATATGATAAGGATGAAAAACACTACATTCCTTCGAAAACGTAAAATTTATACTACCTCGCCCATGGGTCTATTTTTGCCCATAATTCATGTTTTGGGGGTTGTAAATGAATGAAAGTATGCTTATAACTTATTTAAACTTATTTCTTGGCGCTATTAAAATATCTCGCCAACGGGCGAAAATGATTGGCCCAATAGCGAGAACAGTTACTTCTATTCCAATTCAAAACATTTGAGTACTAAATGGCAGTGAGTGTTCATAGTCATGATAAAACCCTCGCCCACTATGTACAGGCCTAACATGGTCCCTCGTCGTGGTAATTGACCTTCAATTGTTGTCGATCTATACCCTATTTCTATATTGTGTTGTCACTTAACAGTTTACTATTTTATATGCTCCCTAACTAGTTTTAAATAAAATGTGATGTACTATAGTCTATTTGCAGTGAAAACGTACCGGTGAATTTCATTGTAAACAAAAAAGTAAATCGATTAAAGCGAAATTAAGATTGCAAATCCTCATAATTTTACCTTGCCAATTGAACATTTAAATCTCAGAATTTTATTCAACTTAGGATAAAAGTTGTTTAACAAACGATCATAGTTTCAAATCGCTATTATTGGTTTGTATTACAAGGGGGTATGCACATTAGATGAAACACCGAGAACAAGTAGGGCTGGTCTAAGTTAACGCTCATCACGTACAGCACGTGCATTTGTTTCACTGTTCCATCTACTGCGCTTATCCCCTTGTAATACAAACCAATAATAGCGATTTGAATCTATGATCGTTTGTTAAACAACTTTTATCCTAAGTTGAATAAACTTCTGAGATTTAAATGTTCATTTGGCAAGGTAAAATTATGAGGATTCGCAATCTTAATTTCCCTTAATTTGATTTACTTTTTTGTTTAAAGTGAAATACATCGGTAAGTTTTCACTGCAAACAGACTATAGTTGTTGTACTGTCCTTTGGCGACAGGATTTTATAACCTTTAAATATATTTCATACTTGTTTATTGCTGTATAAGGTTCTCTCGTCACGATATGGCTCAAATACTGCCGATGTGACGATAAATTTTAACTCTATCACTCTACAGGTCTAAATGGTTCCACTTTGATAAGATAGTTCAGTGTCGTCGCAAACACACACAACAGAGCTGTATATTGTGCCGACACGATACGGGTGAAGTTGCGGATGTGACTGTAATTTTTAAAACTCTTGGCCACCACCTACAGGACCACGGGGTACTAGTTTCATAAGATAGTTCAGTGTTAGTGCAAACACACCTCATCCGTCTTTCCGCATTCTTACGAAATCTCTGGAACGTATTCGCCCACCACCTACAGGACCACGTGGTACCAGACTGTGGCATGGCATATCAGTGGGCTTGCAGTTGGCTATCTTAAATCCGGACTTGTACAAGAACAAACACACGTCACACACCTGTGCATTGTGCCGCCATGAAGTGTCTCGTTCTCCTCTGTCTTGTGCTTATAATAGCAGGTACGTTTTGCTTTTTTCACTTGTTCTACACCTAAAAGCTTACATAATTAGTTTGCAGCTACTGTGCAGGATCAACATATAGGATCATTGACAAATACCAAAGGAACTCATCCCCTGACATATCTCACGATTGAATGAGCCCTTATCTTAACCCGTGAAGGTCCGGGTTAGAATTGATCTTCAGCAACCAATGCTTGTCGTAAGCGGCGACTAACGCGATCGAGTGGTCAGGCTCGCTGACTGGGTTGACACGTCATCGTATCCCTGTTGCGTAGATCGATGTTCATGCTGTTGGATTGTCTGGTCCAGACTCGATCAGTTACTGCCATATAGCTGGAATATTGCCAAGTGCGGCGTAAAACTAAAGTCACTCACTTAACCTTTGGAGCATATCTTGGACATGATCGGTCGTAGTGTGCAACAAAGGGATCCTCCTGTACAGAACCTGACCCAATTGGAAGCTGCTTTACATGAGGAATGGCGTAGACTGCCCCTCCAGAGGATCAGGAGACTGACAGGGGGCATGAGGAGGAGAGTTACGTGGACGTTACACTCGGTATTGAGACAACGCTCCAACGGCTTCCTTAAGTAGCTCCTCAAATGAAGTTAAAGAACATCCGAATCATCGATATTTTACAGTTTATGTGTTGTATGAAGTTGCATGTGATAATATGCTGTGAGTTATCAGGAAACAGATTGTGTACTTTTCCATGGCATATTTGTCATGACCGACTCCAATAATAAGATGGACACACGTGGTCTGGTCGTCAAAGGTACCACATTTTGCTGTGGAGAGCTGCGTCTCCTGGCTACTCCAGAAGCCCATGGTTGTGGGTCCGAACCAGTTTACGTTTCTAAGTTTGTCAACACCAGATATCGTGTCCGTGCTTGTGGGTTTCACCAAAGTTTTGAGCTTCTGAGACCTGCATCACTTAGGGCTATCCTTCCACATGCTGTGATTTCACTGGAATACTGTCAAAAGCGGCGTAAAACTCCACGAATATATGAATTGTGAATTAAACGCTGGACATTTAGACAATAACTAACGAGTGACGGGGAATGACAGATTATCTTTCCCCAGTTATATTAATTGCGTAATTCTCGAGCCTTGGCAAGAGAATTACATAAGTAATATAACGAGGGAAGGATAATGTGTTATTCTCCGTCACGAGTTGGTAGTTGCGGGGGATATAGAAACGAGTTCCGTCCGTCCGTGCTTCCGTGCGTGCGTCCGTCATACTTTGTCCGAAGCATATCGCCTAAACAATTCGTGATAACTTAACCAAACTTAGACCCAGATATGTATTTTATTTTTTGCGGTTTCAATGGAAGCATGACTTAAGGCTGTGACTATGAGGATATCATCTTGACCGGAGCACATCTTCCAAACTATACATACTAGCTTCATCAAACCTGGTACATATGTCAAGCATGATCCATAGATGTGCCTTTTGGGGTTTAGACCCAGATATGAATTATATTTTTTGCGGTTTCCATGGAAACGTGACTTAGGCTGTGGCTATGAGGATGTCATCTTTTAGGAGCAGATCTCCTAAACTATACATGCTAGCTATATCAAACTTGGTACACATATCAAACATGGTCTATAGATGTGCCATTTGATGGTTAGACCCAGATACGAATTCTATTTTTAGCGGTTTCGTGGAAACGTGACTTAGGCTGTGACTATGAGGATGTCATCTTGGTGCATTTCCATGGCAACAAGTTAGGCTTCAACTGAATTTGGTGGTAGTGTTCCTTTCTGGAGCAGATCTTAAAAAACCTTTCAATACTCTCCTTCCACTTTGCTATATACACTCCAAAACATTTGACATAATCATAACTAGTAGACATATTCATAAAGAGTATTTTGCCGTTGCGGGGGATATTGATGACTTCGTCTTCTTGTTGTGTTTATTACCCATATCAGTTTTCGATCTTAAAAAACGCTAAAATGAAAACAGCAAAAAAGGAAACCCGCGATGTTGGGAATCCCCATATGGAAGCCTCCCAAAACGCAGACCCGTTAAAACAACACTTGTTATGGTTGGTTGCATCTGGGATTAGTAGGCTGTACCCTTGATTAAGAAAAATGGTATCACCCATGTAACGAGCTTTGGCAATGTAACAAGTGCTCCTTTCTTTCATCAATATTTATTTAATCAATAATATTTAAAAGTTGTTACAAGTGAAATTTCATTTATACACTATACGACATTTCATCAGTCACAATCTTCCTCACAACAATCATTCTTACTTCATCAGTCACAACCTTCCCCACAATCATTTTTAGTTCATCAGTCACAATCTTCCTCACAGCAATGTCAATCTATACATAGGAGAAGTTAGTTGATTGTTTTAAGGTTTGAATGTTTGAATAAGATTCGTTGGAGGAGTCGAACTATCTGATCCTCTAAACACAGCTTCTACTCATCAAATGTATCAAAAGCAGATTAAAGAATGGAGCAGTGTTTTCAGACAATGTTGTTGTTGTGCACTATTACTGAGTGACTTAACATAGCGGTAATCCCTTTTGGAAGGGGAGTGGACCGGGCCATTCATTAATTAGGGATGACCAGCATGGCCCAATTAATTAGTGTGCTTTTTGTATCTGCATTTTGCGAGGTCTGCGTTTTGGAGGTCTGCGTTATGGGAGTAAACCCCCCATGGATATGGGGATACGCGTTGATTGGCTGTTTTATTTTCTGAAACAGCCAATCAACGTTCAGAAAAAAGCGAACCTCCCTCGGGACTTACAGGAAAAATACTACCCTGTGTCCTCCTTCCCATATGGGTAATAAGCATGTATATGACATGCAAATGCTCACCATTATGTAAGGATTCATATCAGAATATCAGTTAACCAGAGGCCATTTTCTTTTTTTACAGAGTTCTCTGCTCTTGCCTGTGACTGTTCGATATGCCCACCAACTAAGGGAGTGTGTGTAGGCCCCATCGGAAAGGAGCAATGTGTCTGCGTGGGCGACTTGCCCACAGGTGGAGGCACAGTTGGAAAAAGATCTATTGCAAAGCATTTTTCAAAGTACCTTGCTGGCAAGAAGGTTTGTAAAACGTTGAGTTTCTCCTTACTAAAAACAACTACAGACATTCTGTCAGCAGAGAAGTACGCCTTGTATACTGTAAGCCATTAAAAACGCAATTTGACATTCATACTTTCTTTACTCACACCAATTTCAACATATATAAACCTAACTGGCAGATATGTTTTAAGTGAACATCTGTGAATAATTTCATCTGAAAATGTCCAGTCAACAACAACATCAGTGACTCAACAACGTCTTGCTGTTGCCAAGATTGGCCCCATTTGCTGCCCATCGCTGTCTGGCAAGTCTGTGGCGATGCAATAAGGTTGGACCACGGTACGGGTGACGACACCGGATGTTGAAGGCAGCAAGGCGTCCTTGCACCTTTTGGGCGCTGAAATGACGTTGACTTGTCCCAATTGTCCTCCTTGCCTCATCATCAGCTGTTTGGAACCGATTTCGCAAGTGTGAAACTCGGATATTGCGGTTTTGTCGAGCTGTTATCACAGGTGGTGCACCAGGTCGCGGACGATCAGCAACACTTCCGGTAGCCCGAAAACGTTGTCTGAGTCGACTTACAGTGGATGGATGCACATTAAAGTGCCTGGCAATCATCACATCTGAAGCACCTCGGTGACCATACCGATAACCTGATTCCTTTCGTCTTGTGTCAAGTGTGGCATTTTCTCAAAGTGATAGAGTTCCACAATTCCTTGTGCTTTTACAGGGACTGGGTGCAGGTAATGCATGTGCACAACGTGTTTCATGAATGTGGTTGTGTTTACGAGAAATGTCAAAGATTCAGTTTTAAGTATCAAAGTTCATGTGAGAGGAATGCTCCGGGACTCGAACTGGGCCAGAATAACAGCCTTTTATCCCTACATCCTCTGTATCGCAGGCAAAAATCTTCAATAGAACTTTTGTGAGTTTCAGGACAACAAATACCAATTGCGTTTTTAATGGCTTACAGTATACAAGGCGTACTTCTCTGCTGACAGAATCATCCACATACCACTGAGATCAACTCCTGGGGTTAAACCAGTCACCCAGAGAAATCAAAATTTGCTATTTGTTTGTTTAGTTTGACCTGATCAAGTGAATACTAATGCTTTGCGTGACCGTGTCAAAACTGGGTGGGTCTATTATTGTGAAGTTCATTGTCAACATGTCCGAACAGCCGAGACGAGGTCGCCGTTAACATTCTCTACTCCCCTATTTAATGAGGTTAACTCGACCTGCCGTTTGTGCCATTTGACCTCCTGGGTCATGCATATGTAGAGTAGCTCAGGTCAAGCTGAACAAGCTGTAGTGTTGTACATTCTAAATCATGGATATTCTGGTTCTATCCAAGGATACATAGTGAGGGGATAGGAAGAGTGTCCGATGTTCTTGGGATGGTGGGGTAGACATTATGAGATTCAATGTTTCAAGCACCTTTCTGCAGTCACCCGTTGCCATATTGCTAGAATATTGCTACTCACTATATACGTTCTTACCCAATTATCATAACTGGGAGTGTATAATAATAGGGGGATCGGAAGCCATGTCTTCATTGATGTTTTCATGTCAAAATACAATGGACAACTAAACTAAACCTGCCCATATACCTCCGCATGTCTTTATAAGAGGAAGGACAACCAAGTGGTTAAAGCGTTCAGTAGTCAAACCAAAGACCCTGATCCCCACATGTGAACAATGTGTGAAGATCATTTCTTGATGTTACTTTAATTTTGTTAAAAGCGGCGAGAAAAGATGCTTTCTCTGCGTGTTTATCTTAATATTCCAACATTTATCTCCGTTTCTATAGATAAATAAGGTGAGTTACATTTAACTAAGGTAAATCTATTCGGAACTCGTATCAAAATCTAAAAGCATGAGTTGCAATGTTTAAAGGAACTAGTGTTATGTTTTATAACTTAACAAATTTTACCTGATTTGATATGAAGACTTCACTTCTCGTTTGCCCAGGGCCACAGATCCAAGCTCCATCTCCGGCAGCCAATCAGAGTCCACAGGAAGAAGGCCAAGGTCGCCAGGCTCCACAGGAAGAAGGGAGCCAAGAGAGTTTAGACCACGTGACATGGGCTATCTCCAGTAAACTTCAGCATCGTTGAAACGGGTTCCTGTTATTTATTTCCAAATCATACTAGACGCAAAGCACTTTACTTAGACCAAAATGGCAACTTCAGTCTAGCATGGTTACAATGCTGTTAACCACGCGCATGTGTATTGTTCCAACAAGCCAACAATATAATCACGTCAAGTTTGGGATCACACCATCAAAGGAATCTGGTACGCCTTACGGTCGCAATCAGCACCCGATTTTATAGGAACGGATTTACTTAAGTAATAATTTACGTTTGCGTTTATGGAACAGCTGCACCTCCAAAAGTTTAACTGTATAAATTCTTATATATAAATCAATCTACAGCAATCACTTCACAGAGTTCTTATTAAATAATTTACATATTTTGAGAAAATGGGAGTATATGAGATGGATTAAATGTTGCTTTCAACAACTTTCAAGTTATACCACAGTATCAGGGGGCGGTGGGGTAGCCTAGTGGTTAAAGCGGTGGGGTAGCCTAGTGGTTAAAGCGGTGGGGTAGCCTAGTGGTTAAAGCGTTCGCTCATCACGCGGAAGACCCGAGTTAGATTCCCCAGCATGGGTAAAATATGTGAAGCCCATTTCTGGTGTCTCCCATCGTGATACTGCTGAGATATTTCTTAGAGCAATGTAAAACCGAACTCACTCACTCACTCACTCACAGTAACAGCTAGGGGTGGTGTGTGTGTGTGTGTGGAGACGGAGACGTAAGGCAGATCTCTGACGGTGAACTACGAGCATGTATGATTATAATACAATAACACTGGCCCAAAGAAAAAAACAAAACAACAGTAGCATGTCAACAAATATGTATATTTAAATGATGGGTTCAGCTAGTAAATGAAAATCAGTTTATGCCACCTTGGAGCATAACCAATTGTCTCTGAAACAAGACATAATTTAAGGGTCCGTGTTATTTCTTAACAAGGCATTACTTGATGGACAACCAACAAGCTCCAGATAAATATACACAAAATCTTACATTTATACAACAATATCATACACAGATTATTATGTCTGGTTACACAATGTTCAATGTATTCATGCACCATCTCAAAACTGCCGTTGCTATAGTTACCGTTGCCATAGATACATGGGAACACTGCAAACAGATTAAAATACTACTGCATAGCCCTTTTTACCTCAGTGACGTTGCTTTCATTCAAGGATCATCAAGAAATGACAGAAAAGACTGAAAATATTTTTGTGATGCTGACCAGAGTTTTGTTCAGGATGGACTTTCTATTTCCCACATCTAAGGTCAAGAAGGTGGAGTTTTGGGGTGATAGTATAAATAGTGAAACAACCAAAACCACATTATATTGATAACCCAACTGATCTAATATCAACTGGAATTAAAAAATTCATGCTTGAAAATTTAGGCAACATCTATACATCTTCCAAGGCAAGGGAGTTAACAGTTTTACTGGCTGCTATGGTCCAGGATCACCTGGATGTTAGTCAGTTACCTCCCTTGCCTCAGGAACTCAGTATCTTTCACACAACTTCACACAGATTAAAAAGGGGCAAAATATGACACATATTTTCTGATGCATATTTTGATAGAAATTTGTTGAAGTCAACCAGTACATAAGCCCCTAAACAGTTTGCTTGAACAATAAATGAAAGAATGCCCCTCAAAGAAGGATATACATGAAAGGTTTGAAAGCTTAACCATAGACCACAAACTGATATTTGTATGCACCAGAATATCTGCCATGTGTCCCTCAATCAAGTCATCTCACAATCTTCCAGGATCCTAGCACTGCAGACAAAAAGTTGTGAAAATATATAATTTTGATTGAAATTCAAAATGAGCCCCAGAGAGATTGAAGTTCAGAACCTGAACCTGAGGAAAATATATGCTAGCTTCATATGGGGCTTTTGCATGAAAGAAGGTGCTAGGTAGGAGCAAACACCAGTAATAATAAGGTTCAGGAAAAGAGAGACAAAATGTTAGCCCAGTACCTGGTTTAAGTGTATGCTATGCTAAGAGAATTACTATCATCCTAAATCGTCAGGGACCGTTCATAATGTATGGCTGCCGCTGTGTGTGTGTGTGTGTGTGTGTGTGTGTGTGTGTGTGTGTGTGTGTGTGTTGTGTGTGTGTGATGATGAATTTTATGGAGAAGCATTTACAATGTGAATGCCCCCCCCGTAACATTTATGTACAAAGTAAGTGACCCCCCTCTGCATGTCATGTACAAAATCAATGACCCCCTCCCCATCCATACTTTTAAACATAATTTTACAATATTTTTATGTACAAAATTGCTGACCCGTTACGTGTACAAAATTGATGACCACCCCTTCCCCTCCCAGAAAAAATGGGTGACCCCCCTTAAAATCATCAACCCCTTAAAATCATCATCACTCTCCTAGCCATAAATTATGAACGGTCCCTTAGATTAGGAGTACAGGATATATTTCAGCATGAAAACTATGATAGAGAAGGACTTAAATCTGACCATAGAGAAAATGGGATATCTCAAATATTACATTCTTAAATTACAAATTTCAAAAAGTACATTTTTACCCAATAAGAATGGTATTAAGAACAGAGAAAGTAATCCAGAAATTGTCAATCCAGTTGATGCCCCTCTGAATGGAACTGTCTGGATAAACAAGGTCTCACTGTATACAGTTGTGCTCAGCTGAGGTTAGTATCATACAGCTGTTACTAGTGTTAGCTGTTTACAAACACATTTACCCCACTTGGAATAATGCAACAAAAGGTTTCCCAAAACATCACTGTGTAGTATATGAAAGTAATTTAATGCCATATTCAAAATGCAGCCAGCACAGTATGATTCAAATACATTCTTTCATCCATCAAATTATTAAAGATAAAAGCAGACTACTAAAAATGTGTTTAGGTTAGAGAAAAACGTTTTCAGTTTTTCCAATCTTTTTGAAAAACAAGTTTATTATATCTGGAAGAAAACCAGGAATAAACATTGTTAAGTAAAGAGTGAAACATAGGACTGCAGTATTACCAGCACATCGGTATATCGCAATACAATTTTCAAACGATACATTGTGTAATATTTTTCTGAGAACCGGTATATTGTGTAAAGAACATATATGAAGGTTTTGTGATTACCTTTATTGTTTAAATTAATATGGACACAGACTTTCATTCGCATCAGATGTTTTCCTTCATTATTCAATGACAAAGTGCCATACTGTAATACTATAAATTGTATAAAGAAGAAAATAGAATCCTTGACTATGCAACCTAATTTTGGGGTCACTTACTTTGTACATAAATTTCAGGGGTGGTTATTCACATTGTACATGATTTTCCATAAAAATCATCATCACCCCCTGGCCGGAATTATGAACGGTCCCTTAGCTGAAGTCATCATTTGTTTCTATTGTTTTTCATATTGTTGTTTTCAAATGATAGGACAACATTATCAATCACTTAAAACAGATTTCAATGAGACTTGAAATAGAAATGAAACTGGAACATTTCTAAAATTGATTAATCATTCTGCTCACTTTCAACTTGAAACATATATCAGTATTTTCGAGTGCAGTAAAGAATCACTTGTATACAGTTATCTCCCTTTGAATGCCATAAGGAGAGACATTTTGCCACTGCCAGGGTAAGGGTTGACACTATTGGATCTAATCCATGTGTTGATGCTCTCTGTCCCCACCTCCCCGCCACACTGAAGCACAGGCTAGAAGAAAGAGAAACGTCACTCCTGCCAGAGAGAGAGTGGACACAGCATTGAAGTATTGCTTCTGTGTGATACGCAGGTACCAGATGCAAGCCAGTATCAGGGCAAAGAGAGGCAGCATGAAGGAGCCAATGGCTGCATCCCCATCCCCCGTTGTCCATCTGAGGCTGGGCTGTCTGCTGAAGGTTCTGAGTGACCAGACAGTGTACTACACTGTTGTCAGTGATGTTGTAGCCCTGTAGGGTGTTCCGGTCATTGCGCATGTCTTGTCCATTGAAGATTAGACGTACTAGCTTGTTATCTGCTAATTCAGTGGAAAAATGTGCTCTGCAAAACAATAATACATATCTAAATGTGGTTATACACTTCCTTACAATGATTGGTTGGTTTGTTGCTTAATGCCGCACTCAGCAATATTCCAGCTATATGGCGGCAGTCTGTAAATTATGGAGTCTGGACCAGACAATCCAGTGATCAACAGCATGAGCATTGATCTACGTAATTGGGATATGTTTTTTTATATCGTCAAAAGTTAAACATTGACCTGATTGCATCCTGAAAAGAGGATCAGAATTTAATTTTTTCATATGCACTTTTGGATCACACATGCAGTGTTTGCCATGACGAAGAAAACCTGCATATCTGACTCCCAAAAATGTTTCCATGACTCGCTCTCATGACACAAGGAGTCATAATGACTCGTAAATTTTTATGCATGGATGCAGAAAACCTGTTTATTTGACTCCCCAAAACATGTCCATGACTCCCCTCTCATGACACCAGGGTGTCATGATTACTCCTAAATTTTTATGCCTAGGGCAAACACTGCATGTGTTGCTGTCACAAATCCAATGTTACTTAATATTTCTACCAAGCAGTGAAATATGCAGTATGTATGTGCAACAAATGCACAGCTGCAAGCAAGATAAGAAGCATTCCATAACATGCTAAACGAAAGACCATTTTCTTTCAAAACAAATTTCAACAAAAAAAAAAACCTAGCAGAATAAATTTACATCGGTATCATGAACAGCCTCTTTACAAAATGTCAAACAGGTTTCAATTAACTTTTGCAAGATCAATATTAACATAGGAAAAATTATAATGCTGACACAGTTAAAAATAACGATGTTATTGGCAACCGAACAACCTTCTTCTCAAGCTATTCTTATAGAAGCAAGTCCCTTTTAGCATGTTTAGTGACTGAGTGAGTTGTGTGGAAGGCAGCTTTTGAACAACATTTCAGTCACAACATCACAGCATGTCAGCTGCTGACAGACCTAGAAACATAATCAAGGCAAGCAAGGATTCACTACAACTAGCAAAGGTTTCTGTCTAGCCAAAGGTATACACGTCTCACGCAGCCACTTGAGGCACATCCGAGCACTTGGACACTCAGTTATGCAGTTTGAATATCGTCATAGTTGTACTGCCCTCACCTTCTGAACTGGCCGATTGTATCTCCTGGGTTACTGTACACCAGTCGCTGGGTGTCATTCAGGTATTTTAACCTGATCCGGATCTGTCCTTGATTATCACTGGACTGGTTCAGTAAGTCCTGATGTGTTCCACTTGACACACCAGTAGTGGTGGGGGAGGGGGTTGGGCAGGAGGAGGAGGAGGAAGAGGGTGTTGGGGAAGGTGGTTCTCTTAAAGGCACATGTCTCTGCCTCACTTGTGTAGAGGCTATAACAGGCTGAACTGTCTCTGCAGAAGACGAAGATGCAGCTGTATTTTCGTCTGCATCCTCAGAAGATTCATTGTTTACATCTTGACTATCTACATTGGATGTCTGAAGTATTGGTGATGATTTGGTAGTCCTGCATATCTCTTCGACTATCACATTTGCTGAGTCTTCTGTCTTTCGAAACTCTACGCCATCATCCACTCCAGCCTTATCGTCACCAAGCTGGTTAGTTCTGGCTAGCTCTGTGTCCTCTACACCACTCTCTGATGTGCCTTCCACACTGTGGACATTGGCCACATCTTCATCCTGGACAGAAGCATCCTTCTGTATATCATCACTTTCAACTGTAGGGCTGTCAGTTTCAGAAACTGGGATTGCATCACTCACAGCATCAGAAGCAGCATCACCAGGACCAGCATTAGCTACTCCTTCCTGAGTTCCGCCAGCATTCTGAAGCTGTGGCGTCTCTGGGTGTCCCTGTGTTTGTTGATTTGCTTCCGCAAGTTGTCTCCGAAGAGTCGCCCGCTGTGTGAGCTCCACCACAATGAGGCTGAAGAACGGTATGTCCCTGGTGTGTGTGGACAGCCATGCTATGAGCAGCACCACAATGAACGTGACCAGGCAAAAGATGAGGGTCACCTCATCACCCAGCCCTTCTATGAGAGGCATGGAAAGCTTTGAGGACCTTCTCCAACTCCTATCTCTTGTGTTAAGCTTCAGCTAAAACCCCAGTCCATCCTCAGCAGCATCTGGAACATCAGTTAATGAGTCAAAACTTCAGCAGAAATGTCTATGGGTCCTTGTCATAACCCTTATGTTCAAAGTGTACAAATAGGAGGCTATGGAGAAGAAATGGCAGCCATGTTTAAAAATAATGAGATTTCTGCTACCTTTCAGAGAAGCTGTGGCTGGGATCATTCAAGTTTGAGTAACTTAGTACTTGTGAGAGATTTTGAAAATGAATTACAAAAACTACAAATGGGGCTTGTGAAGCTAAATGTTCTGAATGACGAAATTTGAAAATATGTAAGAAACTGTTCAGTATGTTATTCTGAATACTACGAATGGTGAATGCCAGGGTAACTGACAAAGATAACATATTCAATACATAATAATTTGAAGAAGCCATATTTAATGAAAGACCTAGAAAATCCTAGAAAATCATTTATCCAAAGTTTCAGCTCCATAAACTCTTACAGATCTTGAGATGTCAAAACTATTAAAATAAACAACAGTTAGCCTGCCTGAAATACTCACCACGTCATAAGGTCAAATGGTGAGTCGGGTGAACTAAAATTGCACGGTTTCCAAAAAATACAATATGAACAAGTGTCCAAAAATACAATATGAACAAGTGTCCAAAAAGCCAAAACTTCAGCTTTTTTCAAACATTGTGTTGATTTCACAAATCTGCCCTCATGGGTCAATGTCACCATTATCGACTAACAGGAAAACTTATATCAAATTTGGGTGTGATTATAGAATCCAGCCAATACCCAATAAAGTATGATATGAAATAGAGCCAGTGAGTTTAGTTTTATGCTGCTTTTAGTAATATTCCAGCAATATCACGGCAGGGGACACCAGAAATGGGCTTCACACATTGTACCCATGTGGGGAATTAAACCCGGGTCTTTGGTGTGACAAGCAAACGCTTTAACCACTAGGCTACCCCACTGACCCTCATAAAATAGATATATCTCATATATCTCAAGTATCTCCTCACTGATTTCTCATGCCTCCTTATCCTTCACCTTAGCATCTTTTGAAATAAATAGTGGCAAACATACTCTAAAGTTGCGCCAAACTAAAGGACAGATGAGAGGATATTGCAAATAGAGCTACATTTAATCAACCGACTTTAGCTCTGGCATACAAGCGAGTCCGGTAATTATGCGCAGCTGCAATAGCTAACTTCCGTACAAAGGTAAACATCGTCTGCTACCACATTTACACTTGAAATCGGGATATTTCTATAAGGGACTGACTTTTAATCACTAAAGGTAAGTAAATAACAGTAATTGACAGATAAATTGACTGTTTTATGAAAATTCGTTTTCTTCAGACTTTTAAACCTTTTTCTTCATTATTCATAATTGGATTTAATATGAAACACTCTTCCTTACATTGATGAAGTGATTTTTGAAAATAATCTGGCCCTACTACACTTCCATACTTTGGATCTCCAGCTGGATGTTATGCGCATCAGTTGCTGCGCAGAATTACTGGACAGCAAGCAATGTCGCCAGAACACCGGTAAGGTCAACCGTATGGCATAATGCAATGTATACCACAAAAAGAAGAGACATTAGTTGCCATGTTGCGATCGATGTGCTTAGGAGCACGGAATAACCGGACGGCATTGTAGTAAGATCATATGATTCTATCCGTTCTCTTGCACTTTTACAATGATCTGCTTTAAGGGACCGTTCATGATTTATGGCTGTGTGTGTGTGTGTGTGTGTGTGTGTGTGTGTGTGTGTGTGTGTGTGTGTGTGTGTGTGTGTGTGTGTGTGTGTGTGTGTGTGTGTGTGTGTGTGTGATGATGATGATTTTAAGGGGGGTTCACCCATTTTGTTCTGGGGAGCTAGGGGGGTCAGCAATTTTGTACACATACTAAGGGAGGGTCAGCAATTTTGTATATAAAATTATTATATGTTTAAAATTATGCTTAGAAATTATGGGAAGGGGATGGGGTTCATTGATTTTGTACATGACATGCAAAGGGGGTGGGGGTGTCACTTTGTATATAAATTTTAGTGGGGATCATTCACATTGTATGTTTCTCCAGACTTATGCATGGTCAGTAATTAGGCTACAATTTAACACTTGACAACATCTTCAATAAAAAAAAAGGAAAAATCAAGAGTAAGTGCAATGACAGATGTCAAATAAAGTCATATAGGCTGATATAGCCGGCTCCAAAACCACTTTTGAGTTTCGTTCTGCGATGTTTAATAAGACCAGTTCAGTATTAACGGATGAGAAGTAGACGTGCTATCTATATGTGTAAAAAGGTGACATAACTGCGTCATGTGCTTGAAAGGTTTGATAAACAAGTCTATTGAACATATTACCAATCTTTACACGTCACGAAACTGGATGTGCAAACATATTTCGTGTTAATGTTGTCAATCCTATCTCCTCCCGAGTGACATTCACGCGTATCTGCGTTTGTGAGGATGTTTGAAAGTGAAAATACCTTTTATGGTCCGTAGCTTCTATCATTTTAGACACGTAATGTTTCACAGAAGATGTCGTTTCTTTTCCCCGAGTCTTTACTTCCTCTGACTATGTTTCGGCTAACGTTTGCATTTCGTGGTGTGATTGAAAGACGTATGCGCAACAGGATGGAAGAACTAGTTTTATCGCTGCCTCACCCGGGAGCCGGAAGTTTAGATTCTCATGAATTTCCATGTTCGCGTTAAATGAATTTTTACATTTGCACTAATGCTGAATAATTTTAGGAAAATGTATTACTACCAAATGATAGCGTAAACATTTTCTGTCAATATTGTGACACCGGCGTATTTTCTCCGAGTATATTTGCGACTATTTCCCCAACCACTACTCGGATAGCTCTTGTGACATATATATTATATTGGATAACATAATACAATACAATACAATTCAATACAATACAATCTGACACAGTTTGTCGACAATTATTATTAGACGATTGAAACAATCCATTGTGGTACATGGTAAAATAAAATAGGAATACTCTCGACAAAAAAATGTAAAACGTTTCAATCACTAATCATGTACTTAATCATGTATAAATCAAACGACATTATTGTTTGTGTTCATTGTATTTCTTTCCATAGATCATTATATAGACATGTTTTTTTACCAAAATCTGGCCCTGTTATAGCCAATATCGTACCGCTCTCGTCAGGCTAGGTTGGAGTCGTTTTCACACGGTGTAATTTATGGCCTGTTCGAAGCATCTTCATTATGAATACACTTGTAAACAAACGTTGTTTTCAAATTCATAAAAAAAATAACAACAACACATTTGAGGTCCCCACCACTATCTGTATCCAAAGAAGAACAATTTGTATGCATCTTGAAGCAAGTCATGACAAGGGCATAAGCATCTACACCGAAACGTCGCATCCATAAAGCTTCGTCTTACCAGCTTCCAAATGCCACTTAAAGACGTTTCCTGTATCCAGTGAGGAGTAAACAGACATTATAAAATGGTCATGGACATGTACGTGGTTTGTACTGTTCAATCATTTCTTTCTCAGAATAACTAAGTTCAATTTTAAATTCAACGTAAAACCAGAGACCGCATAATAGATGGTTATATGGTCTCTGGTAGGAGAGGGGGATACCCTCCCACTGGACCGTCCCTGATAATAGTTACTTTTGTGTCAGTAATCTATATGTATGTGCACCAGACCAAGGTTACAAATGAATATTTTCACTCATTAGTTCAATTCTGTGCTGCTATGCACAGGCCCTCGTGTCTTTGCGAAGATTAAAGATTCAGAAAAATATTTTTTTGAGATGACCCCCGACTCGAATTGCCTCACAGTACAGTACAATACATTATGACATTATGTATTGTACTATGAGGCATTTCGAGTCGGGGGTCATCTCAATTTTATTTTATTTTTTCAAAATCTTTAATCCTCGCAAAGACACGAGGGCCTGTGCTGCATTGATCATTATACAAGACACATATCAGTTTCTCTGGAGCAAATTTGCATTACATTGTTGCCAATGGCCCCCAGATTATTGGTCACCATTTTTATGGTGTAAGATGCTCCTATTCCACACACACAAATCTGCTTGCAGTACTAAATGTACTCTGTAGTTATCTGTATATAGATGTATGTTTAGTGCATCTGAAAAGTCTGTAGTTACCCATGTGCATGCAACCTTCCATATGAATATGTACAAATGGGTGTGCATGATACTATACTCATGGAAACAAATAAGGGAACACACGAAAGTAAAAGTGTTCGTTAATTCTTTTCCAGAATTTCACCCAAAGTGCAATACAAAGCTTGTGAAGAAACCTGGAAAAGAATAAAGGAACTCTTGTACTTTCAGGTGTTCCCTTATTTGTTTCCATGAGTATATTTTTGTGTACAAATGTGGGCATGCACATTCCCGTGCCAGGTTCCCTTGCAACTTTTGCAACAGGAACATTATATATAGAGACGTAAATGTGTCAGAAGAGACAACAATGGAATCTTTAATCACGAAAAATAGGATCAGTCTTAGTTATTGTGAAATTAGAGACTGTTCATTTCTTATGTCCCGAACTACAACTCCAAACATGTCAGGCCGTCAGTGAGACCAAGTTAGCCAAATACTTTCTCTGATACTTCATTTATTTTTATGTGTTTTTGTGAAATACAATACATAGCGTGTTTGGTCTGTTGTAGGGTTTTGTATCATTATTGCCACAAGAACTTCACCTGGGCCATTGGAAGACGGCAACACGAGTTTGTAAATAGAACTCCTCTCGTGGTTAGTAGTATATCATAATTTCAATTGGTCACATGATTGCACTTGTTCAAGATGGCGATATCAGCAGCAAGGGGACGGCTGATAGCTGTCATTGGCGATGAGGTAATACATGACACCAGTCCTTGTTTCCCTGTCATCTAACCCATGTTGATTTACGAGCACGTGCAGGAAAACAATAACCCGGTCTTATAATTTCAAAATACACTAGCAATATCCCTAGAGATTATGGTATGCCGGATCCTGTTTGCGCTTCGTTGTTGACGCATCATGTTCACGAGTGCAATAATCATTTCTAGTTGAAAGTCACCTTGTCGGGAAAACCAATAAATTTAAATTCATTTTTCCTTCAGCACATCTGTCATGAAAAATATGCCAACAAACCCCGAATGCCAAATCAATTCACTTGTTTCTCAATTAAAAACAACAACAAACGAAATAAAAATGTTGATATCATATCAATATCATTGAACACAGGGGAATGGGCTTCACATATTGTGAAAATGTCTAGGTCTCACAGATTCAAAAGGGTAAAGGAAAGTGAAGATTACACCTTGCAGACAGATTGGCTTATGGATAGCATAAGAGAAAACCTACCTGAACCGTTACCTTACATATACATTATACAAGAGACAGAAGAGATCAATGAAAGGGAAGCCAGTTACCATGGTTAGTGGAATACTGCTGCAAGGAATGTTTCTAGAATTCCAAACAAAGTGCCTTTTACAGGCAAGCTGAAGAGAACACCCCAGTATTTTAGCATGTTTTGAGTTATTAGTTTCTTAATTATATGCATTAAATACCACTAACTTGCTAAGTTACCATTTAAACTTACCATATTGCCTTATTCTATTCAAGCTGAGACCAACATTTTCATAAAGTATGCCTATATGTCATAATTCACTTTTTGTCTGCACATATATACATTTGTGTACAAGTGTGAGAATTCAGTGCCTTGTAAGTTGTATACTAAATTAAAAACGGGGAATCTAAACAAAAACAAACTTTGACCATTGCGAACATAAAATTTCATTCAACATGTTCAATGCAATATCTTAAACTTGTGCATCAGCCTCTATCTCGGTTGTTATCAGTGATATACAAAGCAGCTTGACCAAGCCACCACATTTGAATATATTATTTTCACTACATGTATATAATGTAAATAATAAATTGGAAAAATTACTTTTTCTGGTACAGTTCAAGAAGTTTTATAGGAGATATGGGACCAAATTCAGACTATGAACAGTTCTACATTAATACCAGGTATCACTCAGTATTATGGTTATAGTGCAGAAATAAAGGTGCAACCAACATGATGAAATTATGAAAACAGTCATTGTATCATCAGTGTATGTCTACAGGCCATGTGTCATAATCACTATTTTCCATAAAATTCTGTTAAAAAGAATCCAGTGTTTAACACCTGTTTGATCTCTGTTCCAGGACACCTGCACTGGTTTTGTGTTGGGCGGAATTGGGGAAATGAACAAACACAGACACCCTAATTTCCTTATTGTTGACAAGAGTAAGTGATGTTACTGAGCCATCCTCTCACTGGCTACTGTAATCTGACAAAAAATCTTACATTATCAAGATCACTAAATGAAATATTTTCTTACTGCAGTCACTTGGATATGTCAATAATTCTTGCTTTGAGAGAGAATGAGCACTTTCATTCTACAAATTTCTAGTCGTATGGTCAGACTCGTTGACTTGGTTGACACATGTCATCGTATCCTAATTGCATAGATCGATGCTCATGCTGTTGATCACTGGATTGTCTGGTCCAGACTTGATTATTTACAAACTGCCGTCATATAGCTGGAATCTTGCTGAATGCAGCGGAAACAACAAACCAAACCCTAAATATCCAACCTATGTTTAAGAAGGATGTTATCAGAACCATATGTTTTGTTTAGAAAACAGGATCTGCATCTGTTACAGGAAACATGTATAATCAGTAAATATGTATAATTACTGAAAATTTCAGTTATTATGTATATTGTCTGATTCACTCAGGAATTATGTATGTTTACTGAAATTTTCAGTACTTATACATAATTCCTGAAATCTAAGAAACAAAATTATACATATTTACTGAAATCATTTGAATTACTGAAATATTGATATTACTCTAAAGTCAGTCAGATTTTCATAGATATCTCTTCATTTTAAGGAACAAGGTACATTGATTTTCATGAATTTTATTTCATTGTGTTCGTGAATTTTTATGTGAACTTGGGAGTGTTGAGTGACACCTAGAACTAAATTGAACCTTTGCCTTGTAACACTTGCAGCGATTGGTCTGACAACGCTTTGAGCCAGCACAGTTGCATTAGTGAAACCTTGTCCACTACAGTAAGAGTGTTGGTGAACACTCTGTGTTGAAGTCATCTGCTGAGTACAGTCTCGGAGCACACACGTCGGATGGGTTACGAGCATACTTCCTATCGAGCACACCACTTCTCACTGCTGTAGTACACATTTCGCTGTCACTGCACTCAATCACAACACCCATCACATTCCGAGGGTCAGCTCTGCCTCTATCAACATTGGGAATGTACACAGCTACATTATCTCCTACTTGGACAGGTGTGAGAACACGTATGCTCCTCTGTACCATACTTTCTACCTGTTCAGTTTGAGCTTCTCACGCTCTTTTCCTCTGCAGCTGAATGGCTTCTTGGTTGGATGAAATGGCTGACTGTTCTCTTCAGTAGTCTTAGGTTCATCATGTGACGCTGTAGTGTTCAGTTCGGAGATGATCTCCTCATCAGGTTCAATTGTTGACCATTTTCCAGCAGTAGTGCCAGATTCCTCAGAGATATTCCCTTGGGCAGCTTCAGCTGTCAATGCTGTAGTGGCATAAATGCCTAAGGCAGCAAGTAAATCGTCTTCTGACTGCAACTGGTGCAAGATGTCAGTCGGCAAGCTAGTTGATGTCAATTCAGTGTGAGCGTCAGACCCTAACAGCACCGCAAATGGAGATCGCTTGATTTCGGTATGGAGACTGGAGTGCTTCTGAAATTGAACGAACTTTACATTCTAAACCCAAGTGTTCTAGTTCTGTGAGAACACCCTTCCTGTAACAGATTTAGAACGCAGTCGGCGTGTTCTGATTTATACACTATGTGTCCTGCCGTCAGAACACTAGTGTTCCACTTACACAACGCTCGTGTTCTAGATTTCAGAACACTCTTTGTGTGTTCTGTATGTGTTCAATTCAGAACACCCCCGGAGGCCTCGGATGCTGTAACAGATTTAGAACCCCCTTTGAGTGTTCTGATCCTCATTTCAGAACACTAGTGTTCTCAAACTTCCACCAGCCAAACATGAACGAATAAAAACAACAACCATATGAAATGATTCAAAACTTTATTAACACCTATATTGAATATGAAATTATTGTTATTATCGTTTTGTTAGACCGCGGATGGCTAAATGGAGTATAGGATAAGCTAGCTTTAACTGCAACAACTCATTCATGCACATCTTATTACATCTGCAGTTAAAGTCATCATTGAAGAAAACGCTGGAAAAAAGAGCTCCTATATGTCAGGGTCGGGAGAGGATGAGATAACTTCCCATTTCTCTGACGAAGTGTTTATACTTTGAGGACACATCTCTTGAAGTGAGATCAGCTGTTCTAATCAGAACACACGCCGCCCGAACAGATATCATATCAAACCTTATAGAACAGTTACAGTCTTAATGTGTTCATTTTGTCAAATGTAAAGGGACACTATGCGTTCTGATACTCTAGGGGCGGTGGGGTAGCCTAGTGGTTACAGCGTTGGCTCGTCACGGCGAAGACCCGGGTTCGATTCCCCACATGGGCACAATGTGTTAAGCCCATTTCTGGTGTCCCCCGCCGTGATATTGCTGGAATATTGCTAAAAGCGGCGTAAAACTAAACTCAGTCAGTCAGTCTGATACTCTACTTTAGAAGTTGCTTATTCAGTTATTATCAATTGTTAACCATATATATCCAGATTTTACACAGTTATTTAGAACATATGAGGAATCATTTTCCTCTTCAAAATACATGTATTTGTATTCTCCCGTGGGAAGAAAAGGTTAAAGTTAAAATACAGGAATTATTAACAATTTCTTTAAACCTTTTTTAAATGTCCCCTTGCGTAATGTTCAACATAGTCTGAAAATATCTTAACAGGTTAATGATAAAAAGTATTTTATTCTTTTGATTTACGAAATCACAGTCTTTTAACAACACATTGTGTTCTGAAATTAGAACACCTACCTCACAGACTTTGAACACGTGTGTTCTAAAACAGAACACGCCTGTTCTAAATATGGCCTATGTGTGCCAATTCAGAACATGCACAGACGCGTCCACTGTTCTGTATGAACACTTGTGGTTTAGAGTGTAGTCCCACAGACCAATCACTTGTATCATTATCACTTGTATCATTGGATCACCCATCCAAGCAACAAGCATATCCTTGATGTCACAATTTGCCCTTTCTACAGAACCTTGACTTTGGGGGTGTCTTGGTTTTCCATGTACCATCACCAATGCTGGCCACATAATCTTCAGCTCAGAAATAACCTGGGCAGTAAATCCAGATCCATTGTCACTTTGAAGAACGCATGGGGCACCTAAGAGGAGGAAGATGTCAAGAAGCTGATATGCCACTTCTGCTGTGCGTTCAGAAGTCAGGGGCCGCAATACACAAAACTTAGTCAGAAGGTCTGGATACACCATGATGACTTTGAACTGTCCTTGAGTCATGGATTGCATGTCGATAAGATCGACTTGTGCTCTGGAGTTAAAGTCTTTTGAGATGATTGGCTTTACTACGGTCCCTTTTGTTGTGGCTCTCTTATGCTTTCGCTGGCATTCAACACACAAGTTCTTAAAGAGGGTCAATGCTTCAATGGTTATGTTTGCTTGGACAGTTCATGAACCATTTTGTCCCGTCCGCAATGTGACCCCGTTTGACAACTTCATAGGTCTCTTCTATGGAAATGAAGTACTGCTTCTTCATGCTGACGTCTTCTTATCAGTCTGTAATGTCACCACACTGAAGAACTTCATTATTCTTAAGTGAGTGAGTGAGTGAGTTTAGTTTTACGCCGCACTCAGCAATATTCCAGCTATATGGCGGCGGTCTGTAAATAATCGAGTCTGGACCAGACAATCCAGTGATCAACAGCATGAGCATCGATCTGCGCAATTGGGAACCGATGACATTTGTCAACCAAGTCAGCGAAACTGACCACCCGATCCCGTTAGTCGCCTCTTACGACAAGATAGTCGCCTTGTTATGGCAAGCACATGGGTTGCTGAAGACCTATTCTACCCCGGATATTATTCTTAAGAAGATAGTGCTGATGAAGAGTCTTCTTGGAGGTCTTGGATGCTTCTTGGAGGTCGCTGATGGTGTTGTAGTATTCTTCCTTTGGTATCAGAACACGTATCTGCATGACTTTAAGAGTAATATCAATATTTCAGTAATTCAAATGATTTCAGTAAATATGTATAATTTTGTTTCTTAAATTTCAGGAATTATGTATAATTACTGAAATTTTCAGTAAACATACATAATTCCTGAGTGAAACAGACATTATACATAATTACTGATTATACATATTTCCTGTAACACATATACAATCATTGCCATTTACTGTCAAACATTTTTGCTCTGATAATATCCAATATGTATTGAAATCTGGATACCAGTATCGCAACATATTTCAGTTTAGGATGGATCTGAGATGCTGGGTTAACCTGCAGACCTTTGCTTTTACTTCAGACACAAGTGTCACAGAGATAGAGGATGTATTCCGGTCTTTCTTGAAGCGGGATGACATTGCCATCATTCTCATCAACCAAACTGTAAGTGATGGGACTCTGCCCAGGACCATCCTTAAGTGAAAGTGTTTGTTAACCTCATGGCAGCATCAGAATACACAAGTTCATGCACGGTTCTTTAGACAACATCAGAATATACCAGCGGCTATACTGTCCTCAACTCATTACTACATATATATATGCCACCTGATAAACTGCCCTCAACACAACAACAGAAAATATACTAGCTGCTATACTGTCCTCAACTCATTACTACATATATATGCCACCTGATAAACTGCCCTCAACACAACAACAGCAAATATACTAGCTGCTATACTGTCCTCAACTCATTACTACATGTATATGCCACCTGATAAACTGTCCTCAACACAACAACAGAATATATACTAGCTGCTATACTGTCCTCAACTCATTACTACATATATATATGCCACCTGATAAACTGCCCTCAACACAACAATAGAATATATACTAGCTGCTATACTGTCCTCAACTCATTACTACATGTATATGCCACCTGATAAACTGTCCTCAACACAACATCAGAATATATACCAGCTGCTATACTGTCCTCAACTCATTACTACATGTATATGCCACCTGATAAACTGCCCTCAACACAACAACAGAATATATACTAGCTGCTATACTGTCCTCAACTCATTACTACATGTATATGCCACCTGATAAACTGCCCTCAACACAACAACAGAATATATACTAGCTGCTATACTGTCCTCAACTCATTACTACAATATATATATACTGCACCTGATAAACTGTCCTCAACACAACATCAGAATATATACCAGCTGCTATACTGTCCTCAACTCATTACTACATGTATATGCCACCTGATAAACTGTCCTCAACACAACAACAGAATATATACTAGCTGCTATACTGTCCTCAACTCATTACTACATGTATATGCCACCTGATAAACTGTCCTCAACACAACATCAGAATATATACCAGCTGCTATACTGTCCTCAACTCATTACTACATGTATATGCCACCTGATAAACTGTCCTCAACACAACAACAGAATATATACTAGCTGCTATACTGTCCTCAACTCATTACTACATGTATATGCCACCTGATAAACTGTCCCTCAACACAACAACAGAATATATACTAGCTGCTATACTGTCCTCAACTCAACTCATTACTACATGTATATGCCACCTGATAAACTGTCCTCAACACAACAACAGAATATATACTAGCTGCTATACTGTCCTCAATTACTACATGATAAACTGTCCTCAACACAACAACAGAATATATACCAGCTGCTATACCACTCATGACTACATGTATATGCCACCTGATAAACTGTCCTCAACACAACAACAGAATATATACTAGCTGCTATACTGCCCTCAACTCATTACTACATGTATATGCCACCTGATAAACTGTCCTCAACACAACAACAGAATATATACTAGCTGCTATACTGTCCTCAACTCATTACTACATATATATGCCACCTGATAAACTGTCCTCAACACAACAACAGAATATATACTAGCTGCTATACTGTCCTCAACACATTACTACATATATATGCCACCTGATAAACTGTCCTCAACACAACAACAGAATATATACTAGCTGCTATACTGTCCTCAACTCATTACTACATATATATGCCACCTGATAAACTGTCCTCAACACAACAACAGAATATATACTAGCTGCTATACTGTCCTCAACACATTAGAATATACAGCCTTACAAAATGACCTAAACACAACATCAGAATATACCAACTGACAGACTGAACTTGTTCCATTCTTATGACAAACTATAGACCTCCGTCATATAGCAGGAATATTGCTGAGTGTTGTGTTGAACAGCAAACAAACAAAAACATTTTGATAAGTCTGTGAATTCCTGGCTCGGATTCAACTGCAACAACAATAAAGTATATTGTTTAATAAATAAATGGTTTATGAGCATGGGGTGTGTTTCAGGTTGCGGAGATGATTCGTCATGTGATTGACTCTCATCTTGAACCCATTCCTGCTGTGCTGGAGATTCCCAGCAAGGATGCACCATATGATGCTTCAAAAGATTCCATTTTGCGACGTGCCAAGGTGGGTAGCAGTAGTCCTTAATGGAAACCATTTTCTTGTTTATTGCATGTGGCAATGCTTTGATGTAGATTCTTATATATTTATTCAGTTGAAACCTACATCTAAACATTGCAGTGGACAAGTTATCAATAAAGTTGTATGTTCAATTATTTACTTATCAGCTTACCAATACCAGACAGTTAGACATTAAGCTGATAGACCTTGATGGAATGGTGATAAAATTAAGGACAACATCACAGACTCAACTGTGAAAACCTTCTGTTCTTTATTAATCAACAGGGGCGGTGGGGTAGCTTTGTGGTTAAAGCGTTGGTTCGTCACGCCGAAGACCCGGGTTCGAATACCCACATGGGTACTTAGTGTGAAGCTCATTTCTGGTGTCCCCCGCCGTGATATTGCTGGAATATTGCTAAAAGCGGCGTAAAACCAAACTCACTCACTCACTCATTATTAATCAACACTGATACCACTGAATGCATGTATTAATCTAAAATGTTTCATGGACTATCCTCAAAAAAGAACAATGCTGCCAAAAATAACCACCGAGTCAGAAAACACTCCTGAGCAGGAGCTGTCCTGGACCAGGACTCAAAGATATAATTGTAGGGAGTCTCAGTTTGAGAAATAGGAAATGTCTAAAATTGAATACAGTACTCACAAGATGTGATGTAAGACTGCACATATTTAGAGGTAGTTCATAAAAAATGATGGTTAGAAATGGAGTTCCCCAAGTCTTTTTGATATTGGGTCGTGAAACATTTGATTGTGTGTTTCTTTAATGGATATATATTTGTTCATAATTTATGAATGAGCAACATTTATTCTTAAATAATTCTTACTGCATTCATATCCAATTCGCGTAAGTATAGAATGTAGGATTTGGCATCTGGTAAATCTCTGGTGAACATACTCAATCTCTTTGAACTTTCCTCTGACACTTGAACCAGTCAAAATCTGTGTTGGAATTGGTCTTCAGCAACCCATGCTTGTCCTAAGAGGCTACTAACGGGATCGAGTGGTCAGGCACGCTGTCAGACTTGGTTGACACATGTCATCATATCCCAATTGCGTAGATAGATGCTGATGATGTTCATTGTCTGGGGCAGACTCGTTGACTTACAAACTGTCTCCATATATCTAAAATATTGCTGAGTGCTGCATTAAACAACAAACAAACAATCCAACACAGGTGTAACACAGGGTGTAGGTGGGAAACTGGTGGATAAACTCCTACCCGGATAGCAATGTCCGTTGGGCCAATGTTGGACCAACGAACATTGCTATCAGGGTATTGTGACCAACTGTGCTATATGCATAAGTCTATATGGCAACTACATTGTCTTTCCAGGGCATGTTCTCTGCAGAGGACTTGCGGTAGAAGATCTTACTGGAGTACAGTGCTCAATGTGATGTAGGCTGGCCTACCTCCAGTCCCATGGAGTCAACCCCGTGTTGAGGGACACAGTCAATATATATTAGCAGAGGACACAGTGTGCAGGGAGCAGACAACAAGAATCAAATTTGATAAATAATTCTTTGTAACTCTAGAGCCTTAAAAATTTGTTTCTTTTTTTTGTTACTAGTCCAGTTTGTAGCTGGTCCGGCTTGAATGAGACGGTTCTAAGTATTTTCTATGTTCACATATTTTGTCAGTTTAATTTCGTTCATTTTGTAGCAAAACTGAAACTGGTGCAGAATTGTGCTCAAATGCCATGAGTCAATAAGGACCACCATCACTGGGCTTCTGATGTCCTCAGTACAATTGTTTTGTCTCAGGCTGGAGGGATTCCATCAATTTCAAAGGCTGCTCCATCAGTTATCAGGTTTAAAATGTTTAATAAATGAAGATAATATTGACTTTTTGTCAGAGTGGATTTCAATTTATGATTGTTCAAACCTTATATGACATTATGACTTGATGTTATAAAGTGAAGTTTAAGATGCCTGTCTATAATTGTCATTGAAGTGAACATGACATGACATGACATGACATGAACTTAAAAGCTGATCGTAGTCTGAATCTCTCTCTGCACACATGCTTTGGTATTGGGTATTCTATGATTTCGAAATCATTCTTATATCTTCTTGTAATGTAATCAAAACTAGATTGTAGAATTTTTTTCCCGTTTTCAGCCATAACGTTAAAATATTTGTAAGTCTTCGCCATGATTTAAATTGTCGCCCAATTTTTCTTTAGTCCAACTTATTTTCAGAATGCCTTTTCATTTTCTACTGATTCACACAGAAGCGAATCATTTTTTTTGCTTCATTTCATTTTAGGGGATTGTTATATATTTCTGCAAGCTATAAAATGATCTCATGAGACCAATGAACACTATCTGATGTCGAGTTTCACTGTTTTCATGTCACATGTCTGAGTTGGTTAATAATAGGTGTTACTACCTATGTATCAACAGAAACACCGATATCTAGTCAACACATTATTAATGAATTGCTTGTGTTACTTGTGAAAACAAGGGAGGTAACTAATGTGTTCACGTCATAGCACTAAAGGGAAGTAACTGTTACACCCAGTAACTCTGAAACAAGGCTCTCACAGTGTCAGATAGCTGTCAGAGTTATCATATCTTTGTTGTTTACAGGTTGTTTCAGCTAGTTACACAGGAGGGTTGGCTGCTCTTTGCTATAAGTATTTGTTTGTCTTCATGTTATTTGAATAAGAAATAGATATTGGAACTAAACTAATAAAATAGACCAGTATTAATGTGTGACTGTTATTTTGTTTAAGTGACATTTTGCCTTTTATGAAAATGTAATGCAGACCAATTTCTGAATAGAAATATTTACACTTTACATTGTAGATGCAGACTTGTTATTTATATTAATGGCCGAATTTGCCCCCCCCAAGTATTTATTCGTGATACTGTGTGCTGTTGTTAGTGGGTTCTCATTCCATCAACCACTAGTTTGTCTGGTATACAGTTTCTCATTTGGTGAAGAGAAATTCGCTTTGCGTGGTGTTAAATAGGATTGCTGGCTTTTATTCCCTGTTCACCCTGCTGATGTTTCTTGCTTTGGTTGGGTAGCCTAGTGGTGAAAGCGTTTGCTCGTCAGGCTGGAGACCCGGGTTCGATTCCCCACAATGGTTGAAGCCCATTGGTGGTGTCCCCCCGTGGTGATGTTGCTGGGATTGTTCTAAAAGCCGCGTAAAACCATCACTTACTCCCGACAGGCGATCGTTGGTTTCACCAAAGCCAAAGTTGAGTTGAGTTGGGTTTTGCATCACATCGGCATTATTCCAGCCATATAGTGACGGGAACAAGTTTGCATTAATAAACATTGTAAGTACATACTCGGAATGAGTTTTATTTCAAAAACATATATTCATTACATTGTCATTTAAAAGCAGAAAAAGTCATAGCACTAACTTTAAAGGCAGGCAATTTGTTAGTCACATTTCACAGTTATAATTTATGATAGTCACATTTCACAGTTACAATTTATGATACAGATCAACTTCCCTCAGGTAGTTCACTATCAGATGAGCGCTCATGCGGGAGAACAGATCTTTCAGGTTTGTTGCATCATAATGTGAGTCCCTTGCAGACGATAAGTCCACGCATTCAAGCAGGATATGCTTGATGGTGAAAACCTCATCGCAAGAGACACACATGGGGGGTCCATCCCCATCCGTTTTCAGCAGATAGTCATGAGTAAACCGACTGTGGCCAATACGACATCGTCGTAAAATTACCTCATCACGTCTTGACTGACAACCCAAGTAGGTATAACAAATTGTTGGTTTCAATTCATACAGTTTATTTCTTCCTACTTGTGTGTCCCATCGTTTTTGCATGAGGTCCCGAGTATAGCTTTTGATAGTGGGTTTGACCAAAGCCAAAACATGTATGACCTACAGCACTTCGGGCTCTGCTCCCAAATTAAGCAGACACACAGTGATGCAACTGAATCATTGTACAAAGCGGGGTTAAAACCAAATTCGCTCTGGCCCCGACCAGGAAGCGTGCTGTGGAGTACTGTACAGGGTATGTCTTCACCCTCACATATAGTAAGACTGGTAATTTGTCTCTCTGTTGCGCACCCTACTTGCACTACAGTTTGCCTGTGCTGTGCTTCACCACATGATATTACAAACGTCGACAATGATCACTTCATCAGTATTATTATATGTACAAAGAATATAATAAAACACTTGTCACGATTAAACAGGTTCACAAAGTTAGTAAACCAGGTTCACAACCAGGCCTTAACAAGAGGCAATCCAAGCTCCACTGGCGAAGGGCTAGGACGACTGCCAACAAATAAAATATGATTCCTTGTCACTTACACTACATAATACGTTTCTGGACCTTGTTTGGGGAGACAATGATCCCAACTATACCCTCATTTCACGTGAGATCCTACTTCAAATTAAAGGTTTCGGTAAGTGACCTCGTTCGTAAACCATATTTAGTGGTTTAAGAATCTCCACATCTTTGAAATGCTGCGGGGGTATAAAAAATAGGAGCAGGAGCAAATGAGGAAAACAAACATATTTTAGTATTCATATTTAAAATTGTTCACACTGATTGCGAAGTAATACCTTTCTTTTGTAACCTTCGCTTATTAATGTTTGGTGGAATTAAAAAGTGACTGCATGTAGTTATGTTATAAACCACTGGTTTACCACACGTTGTCTATACTATCTTTCCTTTTTGAGGATCATGTGGTCAAAAATCAGGGCCTATGACAACGTTCTCCCAGGAACGTCCTGATAATACCCACACTTTTGCCACTATTCAACCGAAAGTTTCAGGTCAAATCCGCCTATGACGTGTTATATTGGGGATTACACTGTCTTAGTAAAGTACTCATTCAAGTACTTTTGTTGTGTTGAGTCCCATCCTTGATTTCCAAAGTGTAATCCCAAATATAACATGCGTTATAAGTTTAGGACCCTCAACGCCGCTGGATATCATTCCACCTCTGGTGTCCCCCGCCGTGATATTGCTGAAATGTTGCTAAAAGCCATACTCGCTCGCTCGCTCACTCACTCACTCACACCCACTCACTCACTCACTCACTCACTCGCAAGAGATGAATCAGGCGGTCTTGTTGGGCCCAGTTACTAACTTGGTTGACTGCTTGTTATCCAAGGCGAAAGAAGTTGCTTAATTATAATCTTACTTGAATCAATGGTTATCTGATTCAAATGTCTGTAGTATTCGTAACTATTCGCCACTTTTCGTGACCTACAAGACTCGTATCCCTATCGCAGTCGTAACTACTCGTGTCATTCTGGCAAGCCGGATGGCGTGTCACGGAAAGAGGCGAATAGTTACGAATGGAAAATGGTGGCACCGTTGGACTTTGAAACTTCGCTAAACTATGCAAAGCACAATTTAAACATTAAGTTTGAGCTAAAGGATCAACAGCTTTAAACTCTGAAACATATTTACAAAGGGAATGACTCAGTCTAAGTAAACTTAGTCTCAGTACTATTAGTTAAACTCAGTATAGTAGGGTAACGAATAATACTGAGGCTAAGTTTACTTAGACTGGGAATGACTGTATTGCTGTTTACCCACGTGATATATAGGATATTCTAGGAGCCATGTTTGGAAATTCAGAGTTATCTTTCCTTGATAATAGTACTAGACTATTTTCACCTCAATGACCGTTTGCGTTTAGACAGGACCCAGTCGTAAACATGGTCACGAGAGGGGTACGAGAAGCCGTCCGGCTTGCCGGAATGACACGAGTAGTTACGAATGATGTCTATAGGTCGCAGTGACATTACGGGAATATTGCTGAACACACCTTTCAATCCACCTGCCCTGCAATTCGTAAACTTCTTAATTGTGTCATACTGCACATATATATACGAAATACATACTAGTATATAATCGACATATATTCGACTAAACAAAGCTCCAAGACATATGACCATAAAAGCCATTTTATTCATTTTACTTTACTAAAGTACACTATTATACATGATACTCCGAAAACCTGGTTCAATAATGTGTGAAGCCCATTTTGTTGTACTTTATAACGTACCCACAACGTAAGGAGCGGTGGGGTAGGCTCATGGTTAAAGAGTTCGCTCGTCACGCCGAAGACCCGGGTTCGATTCCCCACATGGATACAATGTGTGAAGCCCATTTCTGGTGTCCCCCGCCGTGATATTGCTGGACTATTGCTAAAAGCGGCGTAAAGCTAAACTCATTCACTCACTCACTCACTCCCACAACGTAAAATGCAACGTCACGACAACGTGAAATGCAACGTTGGCACAACGAACTCAGCGTTCCCATACCATTGTGACGACGTGAAAATGACGTCACGCCACAACGTTGTGACAACATAAATGGGAGCCCACAGAATAACGTGACACGGATGTAATATAACGTTTCAACAACGCAAACACAAAGTTAAATTTGTGACAACGTGAAAATGATTGCTGGGTTCAGCTTTCTTTTTGTGTTTAGGAGCGGTGGGGTAGCCTAGTGGTCAAAGCGTCACTCGTCACTCCGAAGACCCGGGTTCGATTCCCCATATGGTACGACCCGTGAAGGTCCGGGTTAGAATATTGATCTCAAGTTCAGTAACCCATGCTTGTCGTAAGAGGCGACTAACGGGATCGGGTGGTCAGGCTCGCTGACCTGGTTGACACATGTCATCGGTTCCCAATTGCGCAGATCGATGTTCATGCTGTTGATCACTGGGTTGTCTGGTCCATACTCGATTATTTACAGACCGCCGCCATATAGTTGGAATATTGCTGAGTGCGGCGTAAAACTAAACACACTCACTCACCCATATGGTACAATATGTGAAGCCCATTTCTGGTGTCCCCCGCCGTGATATTCCTGGAATATTCCTAAAAGCGGCGTAAAACTAAACTCACTCAGTCACTCTTTGTGTTTACATTCCCCCGTAGCGACCTTTCTGTGACATTATAAACTCAACATTATTTATACAAGCCATGGTGATGCTTTGCCATTCCTTTAACAACCCTTGTCTCCACCTGTCAGTGGGTTGATCAGCTTTAATACCTTTATTATTAATAATAATAATAATAGTGCATATTTATAACGCGGACATATCCACGCTCAGAAGCATGCTCTTGGCGCTACATAAGTACCTTAAAATAAATACATTATATATACAAAGCAAGAAAACTACAATGAATAGGTGCATAATACATAAACAATAAAGGCTATTGAGGATAATATTTAGCAAAGAGGTAGGTTTTGAGATTTGCTTTAAAAGAGTCCAGAGATTCAGAGTGTTTGAGGTCAAATGGGATAGAGTTCCACAAGACAGGGGAAGTGTAGGAGAAAGTTCTGTATCCAAAGGTTTTAAGTTTGTAGTTCGGCACTGTCAGAAGGTTTTGCTGCTGTGAGCGAAGTTCGCCCGATGGACTGTAGGGGTTGATCAGATCTCCAATGTAGGGTTGAGCCTGGCCGTGAAGGGACTTGTATGTGAGGCAGAGTGTCTTGAATTGAATCCTGGCTCTCACAGGTAACCAGTGGAGCTGCTTTAGAACTGGAGTAATGTGACTGTGTTTGGAAGTACGGCTGACGATGCGGGCGGCTGTATTTTGGACTTTTTGTAGTCTGTCAAGTAGAGTGTCAGGGAGGCCAATATAGAGACTGTTACAATAATCTAGTCTGCTGAGAATTAGAGCACGGACAAGGGAAAGAGCAGATTCTGTGGTAATTAGAGGACGTATACTGCCAATCACTATTCTTGTACATA